GTGGGATAGCTCGTTTTGGTGATTATTTCATTTACTTTGTTGTGTACTATTCCTAATGCTGACAAGGCTCCTCCACATGTATTTCTTTAAGGAAAAATCTGCAGAAATACTTAGAAATGATATACGCATAGTATTTCCTTATTTTATGGCATGAACGACGTTTGCAGGCAGATGCAATATCGACTTTGTATAATTGAAAAATTTTTACTGACGTAATTATATACAATTCAATTATTTCGTCGTTTCAAACATATTTCATGGTTAGTTATTGTGTTTACACTGATAACAGTGTCTACATCTGTATAATTATTTTGTTCTTTTTCAGATGATATCTACTTTCGGGAATTTCATGGATTTGGGCGATAAAGAAAAAGATACCTGCACTGTTGTCGATTTTGTATTACATGTTAATTCATTAATAAATGTATTCCTTGTTATTCGTTTGTTTATTCTACTTGATAAGACCGAAAATTAGCCCTTGCGTAATATGTGAAGTGTAGAGTATATGAGGCTATCTTTGAAATACTAAGTAGGAGCAGATATTTGGAAAAGCCTATTGGTAAAAGATTATGTCGTAGTCAAATAAAGTAAATATGCCTAAACCGTAGAAGAACTCTTGCGATTATAAAGCGTTTCGAGTTATATATCGTCATAGCAGAATACGTAAACTGACTCGCGATTCATAGTCACAAAGTGAGAGTAAATCTATCTGAGATAGTTTGCTTGTGATTTCTGCATGTCACAATGCACCATAAGGAGAGACTATACCTATGTTGTTAGATGTATAACTCTGTGAAACTACAGTTATTGTAATAATTAAAAACAGAATGCCTAGGGTTCTCAGCCAAAGAACACGACACGTTGCTATCTGCTCATATGATCACGTAAACAAAAGTCTTCCAGACGCCGCATTTAATAATAATAATAATAATAATAATAGTATATTCTCATTTTGTACATGAGAGACGCCAGTTTACAGGCATCATCAATATGATAAATTACATATACGATTAGCAATCATAATTAATAATAATGTTTTAATAAAGTACACATTTTTTCCTACTTGTGTAGGACACACCAAATATACAGGCATGGATAAGCATTAATTAAATTTCATAAATTCGGTTTATGGTTAAGTTACATGGTTGCTGGCGTTTTTGTTTTAATAATAATTATAATAATGTATATTCTCATATAAACATATAAATTTACATGAAAATGCATGCCATTTTTTTTAGGTCTGTGGGAACAATATGATAACCAGTCATTCAATGGAGCACATCATGAAATATAGGAATATTGACTTCGCATTAACAAAAAAAACCCAAGTAAGTTTCGGATGGATTAAAAATACTTGGGAAAAAATAAAGCTTGAAGTTATTCCACAATATAACAAGTCATTCAATGGAGCACATCATGAAATATAGGAATGTTGTCTTCGCATTAACAAAAAAACCCAAGTAAGTTTTGGATGGATTAAAAATACTTGGGAAAAAATAAAGCTTGAAGTAATTCCTCAATATAACCTGGGTGTGTACAAATCCGAATCTCATTTTTGATTTGATTTATATCCAAATTGGGTAATAAGGAAGCTATTTTTACAAATACGATCAGTTATGTTATCAGCTACAATCGTGAAGTTGTATTACAAATTGATACTTTTCCATTGGTATAAGAGTATATTCCACAAATGTAATCCAGGTTGCGTCGTGGAGAAAGTTAATTCGTTATTAACCAGGCAACTGAAAGATACGGGACCAATAATGTTTGCAGATCATTTGTCATTGTAAATGGTCAAATATCCACATTATTCATTCTCATTCAAAAAGTCAAATGGAAGCTGAAATGGTGAGAGAAAAAAGAAGACAAACAACAGCAACGCAAAAGAAAGCAACGGGAGTCCTTAAGGAGTGATTAATAAATATAAACATACATATTCTGTCTAGTAACTATGCTTATTTCTGTTCACTAACTAACTAGTCCCGTTACGCTAACTTTTATATTTTGTGTGAACTAATATTACTGTCCTGTGTAGAAATGTTAATCATCTAGTTCCAATAATATTAAAATTTATAATTGTAGTTTGTTGTAACTACACGTTTAAAGAACTTAAAATATCTATGTAGGGTGAAAAAGAGGGTGTAAGAGTCAGATGTAGAAGTGCATTGTCATCTTTGAGTAGTCTGGTGACTGATGAGATGAACACTGGAAGTCTGTTTGCATCACGCACATTAGCTGGTAGTCTATTCCGAATGACTGAAAACTTATTTAAGAAGAAGTTGTACCGCACGTAGGTCTGACAGTGCTCTATAGCAGCTAGGTTGTGATGATTTCTAAGATTGTAATTGATGACAGCGGTAGGTTTAGTTATTGGCTCGGAGGAATGCATTTCTCTCCTGAGCTGTAATAGTTTGTGTTGTCAGTTATCTCTCAAATTTGATAAAACGATCCCGGAAATTCAGAACTTAACCAAGCAGCAAAATGATGTTTGAAATTACCTCAACTAGAATGACAAACTGGCCAATCACGAGCGAGCGAATCGCTTGTTTATCTCATTCGCGGTCACTCAAAATTACGGCCGTCTACAGGCTGCCTTTCCCATGTGTATATGGATCGATATTTCAATAGAACTGACAATATGCTTTTGTCTGTCCACTGATTCAATAAACATGTATGACCTTGTTGTCACATGACATTACAACCAATTATGTTAAGACTGGCTATTTATTGGTTCATGTGTATTAGCCATTTTCATATATACTTTTGTACTGTACACATATAAACATTCTTGTTCCCGTTTCGTACATCTAAGTACCCTTCCACTCACACACTAGTGTGACATTTATTTTCCTTGTTTGGAAAATACAAGTGTCATCGTAAACCTGGTGGTCTTCGGATTTACCTCTTTCCGCGTCAGAACTATTAACTACTCGACGAGTACATAACACAGATCCCATGTAACAAATCTACTATCAACTTGGGACGATTGGACACCATGCGTGGATATGAATATTCTAGTCTACCTAGACTTTGAGAAGGCATTTGACACTGTTCACCATGACCTTCTCCTACACAAAATGGGCAAGGCAGGTATAGGTGAGCCACTTCTGTCATGGTTAAAGGACTGTCTAGCTGAAAGGAAATTTTGCACTAAGGTACATCGAATCCGATCATCTTGACACAGCTCGTCACCAGGAGTGTAGCAAGGTTTATCCTAGGACCACCGAGGCTTTTAGATTTTTGTCAATGATCTACCGTCCCGTCTAAGCTGCCCGAATATTTTATACGTCGACGACGTAAAGATATGGAGGGCGATAAAGTGTCCGGAGGACTCAGATGGGCTGCAGGAATATCTAAACCTTCTGGAAGACTGGGCGGTGGTCAATGGCATGACTTTCAACCTGAAAAGGTGCACAGTAGTGAAGTTACGCACCTGTAAACTGCAGAATGCAAGTTACACCCTGTGCTATGAAAGCTTGTCCTGCACAACTTCGGAATGCGACATAGTTCTAGTTCTAACGAAAAAATGGACACAAGCGTTAATTACACAGGGGGTGTAGCGAGGGCATATGTGGTCAAACACTTTACACATAGACAGTTGGGTGCACTCACTCCTTAGCTGTTTCTATGGTTGTACAAATTATACGTCAGACCACACCTTGAGGTGCATAATATTATTGCATCCCCAATGCTTAGAAGAGACGCTAACCTATTGGAAAGAGTCCAACGACGGGCAACAAAAGGAGTGGTTGGTTTCCGAAACAATCCATATGATGAAAGGCTGAAGAAATTAGTCCTGTTCATACTTAGCTACCGTTGTCTTGGTGGGGATTGAATTACTGCCTACAAAATGACCAGAATCACCCAAACAAAGGTGTCCTGCCATTGAGTAGGTATTGGCTCCCACGTGGAAATCCCAGAAGGATAGCTCACCGGAGGGTAAGGACTCGGATGCGCTCCAACTTCTTTTCACTGAGGGGTTGCCGTGCCTGGAATTCCTTACCGGTGGATGTAGCTATGGCACCGCCTGTGGACGCCTTTAAGTGGAGGCTGGACGATCATGCAACGACACAAGGACTGCATCCAAATGGCCTATCTTCTAAAAATCCCATACACCATTAAGGTGTGGACAACCAAACTCGTCGTTTTACTTCTTTACATTCTCTCCCGTCTTACTCTTCCGACAACTTTAACTACACTTATTATTATTATTATCACTATCACCGATATATATAAATATAATACTTCAAATGTAATCAGCTGACTGTTGCTACGTTTTCTTATTTCTTTTTCTGCCTGTTAATCTGAATAACTCCACTAATTATATCTATTATTATTATCTCTTCTTTTGACGGCGATACCGGAGGACTAACTGGTGAAAGGATCAACTTCATTCACAGTAGTAGCAGGATTCACACACCATGTCAGCCAAGTCTCATAAACTGTCAATGTTCAGCTCTTGCTACGCTGGACATCACGCTGTCCCACGAAGACTTTCAGAGACGCTTTGTTTTAACCAACGTGAAAACCAGAACACTGATTGGCGACTCAAGAATCCTTTATTCTTACGCCAACATATAACCAACAATGAGGTTATTACACAAGGTCTAGGAATAAATGTTATAACAACAAATCACGGTAATACTTCTGATAGTTTCTATTCTTCCTCTGAACAGCGAACGATGACTGCCGGATTAATGACCCGCGAAAAATACGGAGGAGTTGGCTTTGAGCAAACAGCCTTGAATTGATCGTTCAATCTTCAACTACATTGATACACCACATAATTAATCCCAGCACTACTCCTGTCAAACACGTCTCATAAACGGTTAATGCCCAGCTCTGGCTACGCTCGGGCCCACGCTGTTCCTTTGAGTTTTCAGAAACGCTTAGTTATAACGGACGAAAAAACCAAAACACCGATCTGCCGTTTGATATTTCTGTTTATTGTTACACCAACATATAAAAGGAATAAGCGAACTAAGGTCTGAAAACAAATATTACAATAATAAATCATTCTCCGGCAGTGGTTTAATCTCACCATTTCCCACTTTATGTCCCAACAGAGTAACATTCTTTTTGGCTATCTGAGACTTGGTTTTGTTGACGCGTAGTCCAAACTCTTCGATGCGTCGCAGCACGGCTTCTACATGGTTGACGTGATCGTTTTCGTTTTGACTGTATATGACGAGATCATCACCATAAACCTCCACGTTTTTCAAGTTCCTAAGTAATAGCTTCATCAGTCGTCTGAACGTAAACGGTGCACCTGCTAGTCCAAACGGCATGCGTTTAAATCGATATTGTGTCTGACCCACGATGAAAGCCGTCTTATCTCTATCACTTTGTTTTATCGGTATCTGCCAGTATCCTGAGCGAAGATCGAGAACCGAAAACACATTCGCACCTTGTAGGCGATCTAAAGTTTCTACCACTGTTGGCATGGCACACGGTCTTAACTCTGTCATACTGTTTAACTGTCGAAAATCAACACAGAATCTATACTTCCCATTCGCTTTTTTTACTAACAGCACTGGAGAGTTGTACGGGCTATCAGCTTCCTCAATAATGTCATCTTTTAACATCTCTTGCACTTGTCGCTCCACTTCGCCTTCCAGATGACATGGAACTCTTCGCGTTAAAAATGACCTTACTTTCGGATCACTTAACGGAATTTCATGATTCACCTTATCGCAATAACCGTATGGGTCGCCATCTCCAGTGAACAGATGATCGTATTTATTAATTAACTCTGTCACATTGTGTACCGTCGACAGCTTAATCGCTGCTATCTCGCTGGTCTCATACATGTTGATATGCCCGTATTTCGTGATCACCACGTTCGCTTGCGTGTCGATTATTGCACCAATCTCACGCAGAAAATCCGCTCCTAATATCGTTCGCTGTAGTTCGGGTACAACAATGAAAGGAAACGTCACCTCGCAGCCACCAACAACGACCGTACAGTTCGATCTACCCGTGATACGCAACACATACCCGCCTACTGTTTGTACTGTCAATGAACACGGGCTAACACTCTTACATAAATTCTTATCTATTAACGACACGGCCGCCCCTGTATCTATCAAACATACTACTTCTCGATCATTCACTCGCAACTTCGAATACAGAGCCCCTTTCTCAATAGCCCCCACTAAATCTAGGTTCATACGAAAGAAAGAACAAGCATTATACCGTCTGAAATTTTTTCTTTTTCGCCTTTCTGGGCAGTATCTTCTCCAGTGTCCCGGCTTACCGCATTCAAAACACCGGTCTTTTCTATCAGCCAACTTTAACGCCGCCACTTCCCGCTGCAATGCTTCAATTTTCTGCTCATATTCGTTTGGTTTTGGTTGGTCTATAGCGGCTACCGTTGTGCTCAGCAGCTGTCTGGTCACCTTCGCCAGCTCACTAATATCCATCGGCTGCGTTGCGTTAACCAGTTGTAATCGCTGAGAAATGTGGTCTGGGACACTCTCGATGAATTGGGAAGACAGTAACTGCGCTTCTGATTCTTCATCTAAAGTGGGAAGCGCGCGTCGAAGTAGATTAGTCAGTTTCACCGCCAACACTAGCGGGTCTCCATCAGGTCCAAGCTTCATTGACCGGAACTGCTGCATTGCTAGCTGTCTGTCTGTTTCGCTGTCAAACTCGGACACTAGTCGTTCAACCAATTTCTTCCAAGACGCTGTGCCATTTGACCTGTCTACGCTGTCATATGCAGCCTTCGCTCGGCCTCTCAACAGCGTCCCCAGGACAACTGCCTTCGCCGCCTGCTCCTTGACACCCACCAGCTCAGCAACGGCCTCGAAGTCACGTAAGAAGCTCCGTATGTCTCCTTCTTCAAACGCAGCTGGCCACGGGATCTTCATCTTTTTGGAGGCAGCGACACCAAATGTAACAACAGAAGACAAGGGCTGGCAACAGATCGTTTTATTACGAAAATCAACACGTATTTATATATATTTTATGTGCATTAATAAGGCTTATGCAAGCAGAAAAAGGCAGTCTTCTGATTGGTTGTTTCTCGGAAGTTAAGCAGACAAACACAGTCTTATGATTGGTTGTTTTCGATATTTCTCGGAAAGTAGAGCCATCTATCTGCGAATCATATTTGTCCACATTTAAGTTTGCTGTGATTGGTTGTTGAAACAGCCTTGTTCATATTTTCTCACGGCCCATATTAGTGACCTAGACATTAACGTAGATTAGTGTCAACCAATCGGCTGGCAGTCTGCTCTCACCACACTAGTACTTCTGACGATGTTTCACTCTTCTTTCTGAACAGCGACCGATGAGACGATGACTGTCGTATTGATGCCTCCGCGAAAATTGGGGAAGTTGATTTTGAGCAAACAACCGTGAATTGATCGTTCAATCTTCAACTCCATTGACACTCCCCGGCAAAAATGGGATCCAACCCTTTTTTCCTTCACGACCAATACACGTTGACTTGGATGCCATTGCGAGAACCTGGGTCACACGGACAGAGCTGAAATGGAGAACAAACAGAAAAGCCAACACACCACAAGCATACCCACAGCACAACCTCACACATCAATGACGACCTGCGCCTCCAGACAGAGACCTCCTCTTGACATCTTGCAACACAATCGCCACTTACTAGAATGACTCTTGCAGAATGCAACGTGACCATAGCAGCACCTCATGATACTCTTCAAGCATCCTCTTTTCTATTCACTATCAATTATCACTGCAATCGCTTGTCACTCATTCTGCCTCAGTTCTAGTTGCGGTGACGCATGCGAGCCTCAGTCGTTTACACTCTTTCTCCCCGGCGTGTCGGACCGCAGCTAACAATTATCTCCGTGTGCATTTCATTCTCAGCAATAGCCTAGCCTCCCCGGCGTATACGACCCATCTGCTGTCTCTAACATCAATCAATTCATTCATGGATGTAGAAGACTCGAAACAACTTCAGAAATAATCACGACGAAAATTTTAACAAAATTACGCAATAACAACAAGACACGAAAACAACAAGTAAACACAATGAATCCAAAATACACCAATTGATATGACACACCACACGTATACACAAACAGTACAAATAACCTCGCGGATCATGTCTCGGTGGAATTATTTTGAAGAATTGGAGGACTTACACCAGTACGCCTGCAACCCTTCTCAGGTTGACGATTGTAAGTTGTGGAATGTCCAGACACAAACAAGATTAACCAACAATTACATCAATTGGAACTCACACAACTATTTAACACAAACATATGTACAATCAACACATCAAATGTTGTGTATTCTGACACGACAAACTACCCTTGAAGAACCGTAGGACTTACAGCAGTACGCCTACATTCCTTCTCAGGTTGATGATCCAAGTGGAAGTCGTCCGGACACAAACAGAATTACCAACAGCTAGATGACAGATGATATCAATTCAGTATATACAATATGAACATATGTACAAGATCATACACCAAGCACATTGGACTGCTCATTGATGCGCTACCCTTTGAAGAACTGTAGGACTTACACCAGTACGCCTACAACCCTTCTCAGGTTGACGCCCTAGGTTGGAAAATCGTCGCAGAGTTCATTTGCTAACTTCCTTCTATCAGCTATATCCTCAAATCTGAACGGCAACACGCCCATGTCATTGTATCGTAGAATATAGATGACGAACAAACACACGACATATCTCATCAACCAAGTATAGAAACAGAGTAATTTACACCAAAGATAATAACATTCAAATAGTAACTTGAAACTAGAAATGCCTTTATTCGTGCAAGTCAATTTAACAATAACTCTCTCCTTTACACTTGGCTTATCCACACTAAACTGACCATTGATATTCGTCCTTTCAAACGAACTGATACTACCATAGTCATTGCACAAGATACTTGAGTTGATGGGTGTCTGTTTCATTGTGGATGACAGCACCAACGATGACTGAGTGACACAAGGTGATGAACTTAGTGGTGGATCAGAAGCTGTTCTTGTTCGGCTCTCAGATAGTTGTCCAACTGCAAGATTACCACCACTGCTGTCTTTCACTACTAGTTCGGGTTTAGCACTATCATCTGATGATAGGTGGGCTACATGCTGATCAATTACACTGACGGTCTCACAAATACCCATAACTTCTGCAACTGCATCTGCATTTATTTCTACTTCACGTTCAAGTTGTACAGAACCTTTATTTAACTTAGCAGTAGTAGGCATATCCCTCATCTCATAATGATCAACCAAAGACAACTGTGAAGTATCATGATCATTATCACGAATATTCACTTTACCGTCAACTTCATCATTTTCAAACTCTTTAATAACAGAAGTAGACAATTTTGGTTCCTCCTCACCAATCCTTAAAGGTTTTATATCTTCACTCTGACTAGTAATACCTTGTAAACTTGTAGGGTCAGAACTGCACTCTGAAGCAGTAACTCTATTCTGTGACACTCTATTCAACAATGGCTTACCAGTTGCAACTACAGACTTCTTCACAGCACCGTTATCGTCACACAATTCGGAGTCAGACCTGGAGTTTACATTTAGCTTATCACTGAACTTGCTCACTGGTTCACAGTTCACTTCTGTATGCACCTCTTGCACACGTGTAAACACAACCGTGTTTGTCTTGCATCTTGTAACTTATCTGTTGAGGATGTACTACGAAACCTGTTACACTCACTAGGTCTATATGCATTACTAGACATCATGGAGCCTTCTCGATATCCACCTCTCTGAGGCTTATTCGTCATCAATGAGTGCGTTTTACCCTCAGACTGCTCTATTCTAGGGGTGAGATCTAACAGACTGGAAAACTTGCTCATAGATTGATTGACACTAGTATTTACCAGTTTCAGGATATCATCAAACTTTGGCTCGATACCCTCATCCTCCATACGGGAGCTCATCTTCACCCACTTCCTTTGCAGTCGAGTAGGTAGACGTCTTGCTATTACTTCTAGTATAAAACTCGAGTTGAGGTCACTCATGCGATTCATCGAAATCATTCCATTCTTGTAAATTAGCAAATTATCTAAAAACTCAGTGAGTGCCTGGGAGTCATCCTGTAATTGACCACCATTACCCTTAACAGCCTCGAATAATTTCCCTGCAATCATCGAAGGTCTTCCAAACCTTTGACGTAATATGCTCATAGCCTCGTAGTAGCCCTCTTTTGGCTTCATAAACTTACAACACTGTATAGCTCTTGCAGCATCTCCAGTGCAATATCTCATCAAATACATTAACTTCAATTCATCATTTAATAAAAACCACTCAACATGATCTCAAACTCCTTTACAAATTGTAAATAATCAGCCGGGTTTCCATCAAAACACCGTGGTTCAAATTTAGGGAGTTTGATGTTCCTATTATCCCTGAACGGCGAAACAGTAACATCAACCATGTCATGCTTAACATCAGACACATCGTTACAATTAACAGACAAGTCACCATGACTTACTTTCCTGTTTGCATCCAAGACACTCTGTCCCTTCTTTGACCCAGGCATTGTTGAACTTGACCCAATTCCAAAAACGTTCCAGATATTGCTTGTTCAAAGAGGACTTGACCGGCACCAGGAAAAATGAACGGCGACTATCCAAACTTTCACCAACTGTTTGAATCCGCCAGATCTGTTTCTATCGTCAGAAACTGTCAATCACGTCTCATAAACCGTTAATGCCCAGCTCTCGCTACGCTCGGGCCCACGCTGTTCCTTTGAGTTTTCAGAAACGCTTAGTTATAACGGACGAAAAACCAAAACACCGATCTGCCGTTTGATATTTCTGTTTATTGTTACACCAACATATAAAAGGAATAAGCGAACTAAGGTCTGAAAACAAATATTACAATAATAAATCATTCTATTACTTCTGACGATGTTTCACTCTTCTTTCTGAACAGCGACCGATGAGACGATGACTGTCGTATTGATGCCTCCGCGAAAATTGGGGAAGTTGATTTTGAGCAAACAACCAAGAATTGATCGTTCAATCTTCAACTCCATTGACAACTCCCTTTGGGGTTAACCAGAGCTACGACAGTCGAGTAGCTGGATAAGCAACGAAGAAGTTTACCGAAGATCAGGAACCTTTACCTCACAATCAAGAGGCGAGCACAAAGAAATCAAATTGGTCTATACTAGCTCATAAAAACGTTATTGGAAATTGAATATGTCGGTAGATGGATAAAGGCTAGAGCTAACTCCAAAGTCTTGTTTTGGACAACAGTGGAAGGTGTCATACCTGAAGTCCTCGCACTTGGCTTTCCTTTGTTTCTTATGTGTGTTAGTTGATTGCCTGGGCTCATTGATGACCTAAGATTTGGACCTCGATAATCTGCTTAGCTGAATCAAATAGCACATGCTCTTCATCATTATTCGGGTGACCTGTAGATAGGTCATAACGTCAGCACCTAATAAACTTGCTTCCTTCGGTTAACTCTGGTTAGTACACTACCTACCGTGTATGCACTGATGAATGAAGTCAAGGTAGAAGGCTTATGAAATGTTGTGTTCCTTGATATGAATTACATTTATATTACAAGCGAAAAACCAAAATTACCTTGTAGCAATAGTGTACAGTTTATGTGTTAACTGCCTGGGGTAGTAAGCTCGCAGAGTGCACTTACTGATAGCATAAGGAGAGAGCAAGCCACGTGCGATCAGTCATGCCGAAAAACAAAGATGGCGTGGCGTCATAGTACATGAATGCGTTATAACAAAAGTTCAGACATTCAAGATGACGTACAAACGTAACTAAGTGCTCAGCCATGGTAACTGGTCACGTAATTTTTAGCCAATACGACCATTTTCCTTTTGCTTGGACTCGGTCAGCACGGTGTCATAGCAAATCAAGACCCGAAAATCACAGAATATTTTAGCTCCGTATCAGCTTGCAACAGCTCACTCGGCCCTTATTATTATTATTTATTCTGTCAAAATTAAGCGATTCACTAAGTAGCCCTTCGCTATGGAGTTGGTGTTTGCCCAGACTAAGTACAGTTGATCGGGTGGGTAGGTACTATCCATGTTAGGGTTTCTGAATTCCAATTTCTGTAAACTTTGATCTCTCCCTAATAATAACCATTTTATACGATTTAGGCAAGAAGTGATTCAGCAGTCAGATGTGTAAACAAAGATGAACACTCGATGGAATTCAAAATATGGACACACTCATGCATTGAGTTATACATGCCTTGAGTACTTGAAGCCAAAAGTCTAAGAAGTGAACGTCTTGCACCTCACTCTTAACCGTTATATAGCAAATTATATAGACGATCTTAAGATAACATAGTTGTTGAGCTGTCATTGGTTTGTGTTATGTGCGCCTGATTTACCCAAAGCTTTAAACTACCACCTATATTTAAGGTACCCCGACGATTTTATTTCCCCTTCTAATGATGGCTGAAACCAGTTGATTGTCAACCGTTTTGACCTAGCAATGGAAATTAGTGTCTGTCAAAGTCATTTCAATCCTATATACGTGTAATTGTCGCCAGACCTTTTCACTGTCAATCTGAGACAGTAATATCTCTCTTGTCAACGTTCTCTCTCTTCTTCCTTCGCGTGTCAGTGATGTTTGTCGTTTCAGATAGTGATTAGAACAGTGGGCTCGCAAAACTTTTGGGTACGAAGATCTCGTTAGCGCCAGAGTCCAGATTGTATTTACGCTCATACTAGCTCGGTGTGCTACTTTTATTGACACACAACTACTCACAATTGGATATTCCGAAACTGACCTCATTGTTAGTAGCACCGAGAGTATACGTAGGTGATGTTTGAGAGAAAGATGCCATTTATGATCAGCTTTGATTTGAGTACTCTTGCTTATTAATATTAATGATTTCAAACTACTCATATTACCCTTATACATATACGTCGTAGACGAATTTACAGGGTATGAACTACATAGAATAAACAAGGAGACGTGATTATGAATAATTTATATAGCTTACATTACCTTTATATGCTTTCAACCAGGCAACGAGACAAAATATATCACAAAACAATATCAGTAACTCTTCATTGTACAATTATCAAACTTAGTAACAAAAAAATTGTGAAAATCGTCTCGTTAACCAAAAGATAATGAAAGAAAACAAGAACCAGTTAATTTTTAGCTAATAATATTCAACATCAAAATGGTATCGCAAATTCAAAGGATCATAAACTCTTGAGTAGAGAAAGATCCAGTTAGATACTTGAGAGGTAGATCAAAAATGCAAGATTCTATACATAATATAAAGAAAATCCTGCTAGTGTTGTTGTTGTTACTGTTGTACCTATCTGAACATCAAGTAAAAAAAATGTTTTCTAAAAAAATCTCTGTAACCGGTGTATTCGGCATAGAAAAGAATTGTCATTTTAAGCATACATAATGTGTTAACCTGCGTAAATGCCATAATAGTAGTAGTAATAGTAATAAAAGTTAGATTATCTGAGGTAGTGTTGGTCATTCACATATCTTTGGTGAGAGGTAGACGTATTCATAACTGTCTGTGTCTGTGTGTGTGTGAATACTTTTATACTGCACAGAAGACTCCAATATCTGGGGAGCGAAGAAATTCAGTAGCGATTAATGAGTCTACAGGATAAAACATGATAAACAATAATAATCTCTGAATAAAATACACATTAAAAACCGATAAAAGTACAAATAAACTCTAAAACTAAATGTATTATTCAAAAATAAAAGGGTTAGGAGATCGTCGGACGGGAACATGTCTGCAAACAGTTCCCTCTTATATAGTTTTTTTTCCTTCACGTTCGCCAGTGGAACATAGGGTTTCAACCTAGCGGCTTGAAGCTACTGTAGTAGTGTTTATTTTACAGGGAGGGGTTGCTAGCCTCGTGCCCAACCTTTCCTCTTTACCAACATTATTTCTGGCTTAGCGAGGTAAAGGAGTGCGTCGGCCGGGAATCGAACCCCAGACCATGTGCATGGCAAAACCAGCACTTTACAAAGTGCTACGCGTCTCAGTGTTTTTAACCTCATCATTGGAGTTTTTACGACACTAATCAACGATTTTTTTGTAAAGCCTATGGACCTTCCTGTGTTCTGATTTATGTGCTGTACTTGTTGTTCACTGGCTAATGAAAATAACCAGTTGGCAAAAGTAGAAAGAATGAATCGGCTAACTAACTGGTAGTTGAGTTTCCCACATTGACATAACGACGATTCTATATTAATATTATAAGTGAAACAATATCACACTTCGGTATAATGATTACAGTTCTCGTACTTCGTACTCTAAACAGGCTGATCACACACGACTTTCTTTCTTGGAATTACATATCCGTACTTACATCTTACCACAGGCTACGGACGGCCACAAGTTAAGTCCGGATACACAGTTTTCACTGTCAGCCTTTTCTAACCCACCTCCTACTTTCCAGAGAAGAGAAGCAGCATGGACGGCATACTGGTCAGAGGAAGGGAACACCTTACTGCTGTTACACCCCTACTCCTCAGTAGTAACAGTTTTCCCACGGACCCCCAACATAGTGTGAAAAATTTTTACTATGATGGTAACAACTTTTAATCTACTTGCTAAGCAAACAATATTTTTTGGTATGTTTTGAACTGTAACCACTGCAGTTCGTTGTGATATGCAAAACCAACCACCATGGCATAGTAGGAACTATCGATCGGTTTGAGTATGACATTACAGAGGCAAAGACTGAATATCACTTTAAGCGAAATGAAAAACGTTGATTAGGCGCTAAACACAACGCCACAGTGAATCATCTCAGCGGCGATGAGTTCATTAACATGATAAATTAAAGACCAGGAGACTGTAAAACTAAAGAATTCATATTTGAGATGCATTCAGACTCGCCAAACATTTAATAAACTGGAAAATATGGCATTGTTAAAAATTCTACTATGTGACAAAGTCGTTCATTTTTATAGATTACTTGCTACATGTTCAATCTCTACATCTGGTAAAAGCAGAACTCATGTTTTCGAAGTCTCATAACTCAAATATACACAAGAATTCTGTTATAAAGTAGAGTATGGTAGGAGAAATGCTGTCAACTTACATATGAGTTGCAATGGGCTTTTGTTTCAGAGGAAGCAGGACTTTCCACCTAGATATTAATAGGTAGGATAATCTTAGTAAAACCTCTCAAAAATGAGTATGCAAAATAGATAATATCAAATGAAAAAAGCTGTATCTTTAGAACAGCATACGCGAAAAAATACAAGAACTGAAAGTCTAATAAATTACACTTATATAAGAATATAAATTGAACCGCCTTATAGTAGAGTAGAATTCATTTATCACATGGTAATACATTATTAGATTATGAGTTACACATAATTGTACAAGAGGGTATTATACTCCTCAGTTGACCAGGCTCACTTGGGTGAAGGGGAATTTGAACCATGGACTAATTAGCCAAAAGTTCGGTGGACCACCGTAATGACCACGAGCTGATATAACTTAGAGTACCACTGGAAAACCTGGAAGTACTGAAACGCTGTTTCAGTTTAGTTCGGAACTCTTCAGCAGTACACATACACACGCACCAAAATCCGAACTCAGGACCTCACGGTTACCAGGCGAGCTCATAGACCCATGAGTTCCAACCTCTGACTATTCGTGATATGTATACATCGCGACTACCATAGCCGATGTCATCGGGGAGTAAATGTTCTCCAATCTGACTTTGTGGACTTCACTAGTCACAATTTCTCACTAGAACTCCAGGTATCTTCTTGTATACAGGTAGTTAAATTAATTTGCAAGTGTTGGTTTGTAGTGATGTCATCTCATGATTAAACCTGTAACCAAATTAATACCTACAAACCAACACTTAAGAAAAATAATACTGAGTCAACAAGTGATATATATGTCATACACATTATCCAGCGTCGGTGGCACAGTGGTTAGGACTCTCGCCGACCATGCACATAGTCCGGGGTTCGAGCCCTCGCCGACGCACACCTGATATCTATGGTCGGCCTGCGAATTTTGGGCTACCGATATCCACGCTGAAAATTCCATACTTGTACCAAAAATACGGTGTGGAATCAAGCTGTAATCAAAAAATAAAAATAAATAAATAAATAAAAAAAATAAAGCACAAATGTAGTGAATGGGGAAGGAGAAAAATAAGTAAAATTCGGATTAGGAAGTTCATTGTAGGTCCCAATGGCATGTGCAGCACATGACCTAACCATCTCAATCTATGTAACTTCATAGCCTCCTCGATTGATTTTCTCTCTTTGCCCAACACTTTACGCCTAACGTCAACATTACTTACCTTATTAAACCACCTAACGTGAGAAAGAGATCGCAGACATCTATGATCGAAAGCAGTCAACCTTTTCATGTCTTCAACGCGTATTGGCCATGTTTCAGAGCCATAGAGAAGGACGGAGCGAACTGCTGAGCAGTACACACGTCCCTTGGTTGATAGCCGGATGTCGCGCCTACGCCAGGGATGGCGTAAGTTAGAGAAAGCAGCTCGAGCTTTTTGGATCCGTGCTGAGATTTCATCGCCAATCAGTCCGTTGGTGCTGACACAACTTCCCAAATAGGTGAAGTGGTCAACATGTTCTATCACTTCATTCCCTATCACTAAGTTAGGAGTTGACGTGGTCCAGTCCTGTAGCAGCATCTTACATTTTACAAGGGCGAATCGTACGCCAAGCATACGAAGATTGCTGCTCAAGGTGTTCAGAAGACTCTGCATTTTGTCAGCATCCTCCCCTAACAGGACTATGTCATCTGCATATTCTAAGTCCATAAGACTATTCCCTGGTAACAAGTCGATTCCTAAGTCGTTACGTTCAGTTAAGGATACTTCCATCAGTATATCAATGATGAAGTTAAACAGAAATGGGGAAAGTGGACAACCCTGTCGGCCACCACTGGTTGTTATCAATTCAGATGACAGTTCTCCATAAACCATTACACGGTTACGTGAGTTTGAATAGAGTGCCTTGATTAGTGCAATGTACTTTCTTGGCACTCCCTTCACAGTCAGACATTGCCATAGTACCTTTCGATCCACGGAGTCGAAGGCCGCCTTCAAGTGAAGAAATATGGCAATTGTTGGACGCCGAAAAGTGTGTCTATGTTCTAGGATCTGTCGAAGAGTGAAGATATGATCTATGCACACAATTACGTAATGCAAAAATTGAATTTTAAAAAGTCATAAAAAAATCAGATAAACTATAACTTCCTTAATGATATGTATGACGTATAAATCCAATCTATGAGTCAGTTATATCTTATGCTGTGTAAATTAGCGCCTTCACTAGAATCAAGTGGGAGCACCACCATAAAGTCAAAACCAGCTTACTCTAGGTTCTACAACCGACGATGCATGGAAGTATCTTTGCAGATAACATGATATTCAAAAATAATAATAGATGCACCGGTGGATCAGTGGTAGACTGTTCACCACCAACCACGCATGGGGCCTGGGTTCATTTCACGGCTAACGGACTCCTAAACTTCGTCTGGCTTACTAGGGAATAGTAATCGCGGAATACGAGGAAAGGTTGGTCACCGCTACTGACACTTCAGAAGCTTGAAGTTTTATATTCCACTTGAAATGCGAAGGATGGAAGAGAAAACATCAGTTCAAAAAATAATAAACATATTTTTTTAAACTATTCTGTCAATGGGGAAACTTACATTATTTATTCCAGATGGGCTAGGACTAGAAGACTCAGGCGTGAGAGGAGAATCGAGGAGTAACTTTTTACGTGATTTAGGCGCTCGTGTTTCATCAGGATATCCAGACTGGGTTGATTTATAGATTGCACCATTATTGTTATTATTTGATCCTGCATACTCTATCATACCATCCTTGTTCATAATAACTAGGAATACAAAAAAAAGAAAAGAAAAGTGGTTTTGTCTATTGAGAATATTTCTTTATTAATTACTACATTGCTATGACGTAACTTGACCTAGAACACAAAACGTGCTTAAGGACTGACTAGAAATTACCAAGATAAAAGATTTCCAAGTGTGTGTGTGTGTATTTGTGCGTGCGTGTTGGTTAACTTTAGGTTGTTTTCAGTGTGAAAAAGGCAACTGACAGAAACGACTGTCAAGTGATTGAAGATATCAGGGAAAGTCAAACAGGAAAAAACAAACACAATAGTGACATATTTTTGAGCGTACTTTTGATTTTTTCATACATCTATCTGTAGCTAAAAAAATGTTTTACAGTGGAAGAAAACTGCATGCTTTAAGAAAATCATTTATACATGTGTAAATTAAATTAGCAATAATGAACGCAAGTCATGATTATGTATTCAAAATAAACAACAATATGATCCTTGTATAAAGTAGCAGAATTTAGCGATATACCTACTTGAACATTCTGTTTGATGTTGGAGTCGGAGTGTTATTCCCACAGTTCAATTCGGCATTGGCAGCAGAATACTATGTCTAAATGCCTGAAGAAGACATTTCCAACAGCCACCTTACGTATCACATTCTCCGGCAGAGAGTTAATCAAGTCTGACGTTAAGGACAAGATACCGCTTTTGGCCACTTCAGTGTGTATTTATCAATTTACTTGCTCATGTAGAGCAAAGTATATCGGCCGTACTCAATATCAAGTCCACAAACGTATTCGAGTTATCCACAAGAGAAAAGAAGAATAGCAACAGCTCTATTCTCGAACACCTTGTCATCTCCGGACATCAAGCACCCCACATGAATGCTTCACAGTGCTATACAGAGTCCTTCAATATAGTACAAAGGGACTTCGCATAAGCTATTTGTACACAGCTGAAGCATTAGCTATTCGATATCTGAAACCGGACCTCTGAAATCAAAAGCGATACATACATTCTCTCGCCTTACCGTGGCCAGAGTAAATTTCCTACTATAATTTTGCTCCTGTGTAAGTTCACTATTATTATTATGGTTGATGTTATTATTACTATTATTTTATTATCATTATTATTCCCATCATCCATATTTTATTACCACTCATTTACTGTTTATTAATAACATTGCTTTTTCATACAGATTTTTATGTAAAAACACTTTATCGCCTTTCCACCAGTTCCTGTCCATTCTACACGACTTCATTGATTAGTCATTGTCCTCAAAAACTGTATTACATAATGTAAGGTGTAAGAAGGGATGACTAATTGTAAGTTAGAAAAGAGGCAGAAGTTAGCATGATGTAATAGGTGTGAGATAAAGTTTACCAGTATCTGATTGGTCTAAAGATTTCTTTGTTTAATATAATTACGATTGTATATCTCATGAAAATGAATCGTCGAAAAGAAAATCTTCTTCACTATTTACGCCTTTTTCTTATGACTCAATATGGGAATGCTTCGTTCATTGAAGAATACTATGTATATTTGAAAATTCTGTCTCATGTCCTTTGATGTTAACCGAAATCATACGCTCAGTGTTTGGTTAACGAATATAAGCTGTATGTATATAAACAGCGATTTGATTAATGAAAAATATACTTTGGCTTCTGTGTCTTGCTACAATACTACTACAAATATTTATAAAGTTATATTTGTATGAACTACTACAAATATGTACAAACCTCGATAACTAGGGTGGGATTCGAATCTACGCCCTACTGATTGGAAGTTGTGCGCTCCGACCGATGAGCCACAGCTCCGAACATCATTATATATGCAACAAAAAGGATCCTCTTATGTAGACCAACGATGTATACTAGTTACAGATAACAACATTTTCACTTAATTGGCACATTTTCAATGCAGTAATGGATAAATGGTTAAGATCTACAAAAATTACTGCTGACTTTGTTAATAAAGTTAAGATTATTTTAAAAAATTAAGCCCTATATATCAAAGTTCATTCGACTCAAGAAGAAAGAATCAGTACGATAATATATTCCCAGTAAATGTTTTCTTGTGAAAGTCAGTGACACAAGTGCGTGTGCCTACTTTACCGTAAAAGTTGCCATTTGATCAAGTTTGCATTGTGAAGGATCTCAGCAACTCTTCAAAGCGGTGTCAAAGCACAGTTATCAACATTCATACAAGCATATTTCGTTCGCTTAGATTCAGTTTCCTGCTAAACGCCACACCTTGAATACACATCACAGTTCTAGCGATATCCCTGTTCTTACCTTTAGTTCCAAGTGGAGTATAGGTCTTCAGCATTGCATCACCATTGCAGTCGGTTCGCTGCCACTACTTTCAACTGGCTTCACGACAACTCACAATCTTTGTTGATTTTCACTTGTAAACCTTCGAGCTTTTTTCGACATGGGGAACGGATTATTTGCTAAGTTCAAATGATTTTCTAGTGTCTTATCGTCAGTCCAACGAATTCCCAAATTCTCGCTCCCTATGGTCTGCAACATGATTCAATCCACCACAGTTAGGAATACCATTGGCCATAATACGTGATCCTATCTTACACCTGTTGTGAATTACTTGGAATGTGGGACTATCATAAACCTGTTTAACGGGATTTACAAATATTTGTAGAACTGCATTCCGTAATACTGAAGTAGTTCCCAAATTACTTCATAGTCGACACAGCCGAAGGCCTTTTCGAAATCGATGAAAGTTAAGGTAAAGATTTGACTGCTGTTTCATGCCCTATTAGGTGATGCCTAGTGTTGAAATTTCATCCACACAAGATGTTGTTTTTTATTTTACTGAATCCAACCTTTTTCTGGTGGAGTTTTCTATTCAATGAATTTTTCAGGACAATACGACTTAGTATATTGTATGGGGTGGGGATAGACGCATGATTGCACTTCCCATTTCGACAATCTGACAGAGTAACCTTTCTCCCAACCTGCCGGTACCTTCTTCCCCGTCTACACCTGTTGAACTATTGTCGCGAACAAGTTTATCATGAATCGCTATTTAATACTGAATCGGTATTTCAGTGGTAGAATGCTCGCAAACCACATGCAAGTGGTCCGGAGTTCGATTCCCCATCAAAGTACTTTGAAACCTCACTTGGCCGGTAGTAACCCCGATAAAAAAAGAGAAGGTTGGACGAGAGTCTAACAATTTTACGCCGTCAAAAATACTACTACAGCTACTGAAACTTCTAAGCTGAAGGCTTGAAGACCAACGTTCCACCAAGAGCACAAAGGAATTAAATAAGGATAAGTAAGCTTAACACTAAGATGATGCAAATGTTGTTTCTTACACTTTCTTGAAAAGCATTCATAATTTTTATTATTTTAATTTTGTTTTTAAAACAAACAAAGACAATAAATATACATAAAAATAAAACACACTAACTTGAATGAGCGTTCATAAGATGCTTTTTCAAAGAATGCTTTTGTGTATAACTTTTCTGACAAAGACTGCAAATATATGCACGTACACCTAAATATTAATGATAAATAACAATAAATCTTAGCAGATAACTAGCACCAGTATTATTAGTCGACATTAAATAACTTCAACACAAAAAAACAACATACAAAATTAGTCAGTTAATCAACAATTAGAAAGACTCACATGATGTATATATATGTAAACTGAATGCATGATAGGATATATTTTTTCCCTGAAATACCTAAACAATTAACTATTCAACAATACAGACGATAATTTTAATGAGAAATATATTTATAAGGGAGAAGGGGGATACACACCAGAATGGTATAGCGCATATATATGTATATGGTATGAAGTGGATGTTTTTCATTGCCTCAGGAGATTACAAACCATCAAAGTAATTCTGTGTTAAAATATAGAAGAGAAAACAAGGGATTTACAAAGTTTAAGATTAGTTAAGGTATGAACGTCAAGTAGTCAGCACAACTTAAACGTTTCCAATTACGACTGGCTCCTGTCAAATGTAAGACAATGCTACTGGACTGGACTACACCGACTAAACTGTTTGGAGATAGGTAGGAGTGAAGTGGTAGGGTGTGTTGTTGACCACTTCATTTATTTGTTGGAAAGTTGCATCAGTCCCAACGGACTGATTGCTGGTGAAATCTAAGCACTGAAACAAAAAGCCCGTGTGACACTAGTTAACTTTCACCACGTCTGGCGTAGGCGTGGGGATACCCATTGCACAAGAGGTGGCTCTCGCGGCCTAAGTGGTCTAGTAAATAACACTTTGGTGTTTGAAACTATGGATACTCGATCCGAGCTTCAATGGGAACACCATCACTCACTGGAAAATGCTAGTGCATCAAGATGATGAGTCCCGCGTTTGGACGAAATGCGCATTCTGGATTCTACTGTTAGTCACCACCTACCAATTTACTTCAGGTTAAAATGGTCATACATTGCCGAAGCATCTGCGCACAAGAAGCTGACATGTCAACCTAAGGCCGAGCACTGCGGTCCAATCGACCAAAGGCGAAAATCCGAATTGCATTGAAATCGCATAAATTATATTTTTATGCAAAATAAATACTTGTAACATTTCAGGTTTATTGACTTATTTCAGTATTCATCAATGTCCAGATGTTTAAAATCTTTTTATTCATATGAAAAGATACGCTTCATTATTTATTCTTTCACTGTTTTTCACTTAGAAGTAGATAGGATCTATTAAAAAGGTTTATATATATATATATATATATATATATATATATATAGGACCATTAATCCATATCATGCATCTGCGCATATTTATATACGCAATCATGTTAATCGAGATTTCATCTTAACCTTTGACTTCATTTATACATATGTTAACAGTGTAAGTTAACCTTGGTCACCTGAATTTTCTTCTGTATTCTATTATGTTTTATAATTTATTCTTTATACAGAAACTTATTATTCAAACTAAAATCAAAAGATGTGTTAGGTGTAATGAAAACGAGAGATTGAAAGATGTCATCAGTGTATAACTGTCATGTCGATGATACATTTATCTTAATTAGGGGGAATTGTAAGCAGAGATGAATTGTTGAAGAAGTCTAGTAACATCCAACCTTCGCTTACTTTCACTTGTGAAGAGGGAGGAGCAGAATAATTAATTGCATTTTCTGGATGCCTTGTCAAGTAGGCGAGAAAATAAATCACTCGAGAGAAGTGTTTATAGAGAAGGCAGATTCACAGGGCAATGTACACAATGTATCATCGGCGGCCTGCTTTAATCATTGGGCTACCGAAATTACTTTCCTCCAAAATGCTTAATTTCATCTGGATTTATCGTTGTTTTAATCTTCCAGTTATATCAAATGACTTATACATAAACTTGCGCGATGATTTAACTTGCTCCCAAGTAAACGCTGTACAATTCTTCAACGAAATGAGGATATACTTCAGATTATTACTTTACATGTGAATCCTGTGTGAAGAAAAAAGTACTTTGGAACTGAATATGCTGAAAATTTTTGTACCGTATACTCGCATACTGTCTTAAATAAAGCTTTACCATTATTATTATTATTATTACACGCACTTTCTTAGTTAGGTGTCCATTAAATATAAACGAAATGTTGTTAAGTGTCTTACGGGCACAGTAAGAAAGATATATACAGATGATCACTTACAAAAGGAATTTGGACAGATTCATGGTTGCTTGACGGAAATGGGTTATCCGAATAGTTTCATAAAGAAACGTATGAAAAAACTGGATTGAAATCCTGAGACGATGACGGCACGGAAGAAGCCTCTATTTATTAAGTTGTAATTGTCTAGTGAGATTTTGTTCCAGAGACTAACTAGAAGTATACGTAGGTCATTTTACGCAGCCAGCTTATGTTTTTCATTCTTGAGTTGACGGATGATTGGGACTCAAACGAAGGGTAAGCTAGATAGTTTTGCTACATCTATGTGTTGGACGTGGTACTGGACAGCTTAGCCAATATGTTACCAAATATCTCCCCACAACTGCAAACAGTAATGGAGAAGACTACAGACGACAACGTCAAAGACATAATGAGTGATATAAATGCCAAACGGAGAGCAAGCAACACAGGATAAATGAAGCAAAAAGTTGTGTGAGTGACATGATATGACTATGAGCAATAATTTGTGCTTGAAACATCAGTTAATATTACTGTACAACATTGTGTGATTTATCAGAATAAAATCCATAATGGAGTTATGATCTACCGCAGTGCCCAAGTTTTATACTTATATCAACATAGGAAGAGAACTCATCATGGGAACCAACAAGTTGTTTGAAGTAGTGGAGACAGAACTTCAGGTGAACATAGAGTTGACAAAGGTGATGAAGATGCCTAACTAACAACAGCAACACCAATCACCATCGACGGGAGATATTTGAAGAAAGTTACTTCTCAAACTTATCTAGACAGCATCAATCCAACTACAAGTGGCACGGATGAAGATCTCAAAGCCTACACAATCTGACCTGTGTTGTAATTATTCACACCTTCTTGCCTTCTATAAAATCTGTATATGACAAGTACGTGTGTGATCAGAATGTCCAAAATGTGTTGTGCGAATACATTACACATTTCAGATAAACTACATCTTATTTTGTTGTCAAAATTCATAAAGGGAACTAATTGCTTTAAGTACTGGAAAGCTCGTAACTTCGGGAAGAAAAAATTTATTAATGATAAGAACATGATCTTTAGAGGTAAACCTTATCGGTTTAAGGACACAATAGATCCAATTAAGAGAAATAATATAATTTACCAAATCCCATGTAATGACTAAGAGGTCAATTACATAGGTCAGACTAGTAGGTCAGGGTCAACTAGATTATTGGAACATAAAAATCTACCTAGACCTAGAATAATTGACCTTGTTAAATAACTAAAAAAAGGCTCAGTCATTGCACTGCATTCACTTGCATGTAGTCACATAGCGACAGAGTGGGACAGGGTGAGAGTATTAAAAAGTAATATAGTTAGTTGGAGAGAAAAGTTAATCCCAGAATCTTTGTTTACCAATTCAACACCGGACACGTGCAATCTGAATGAGGCAAGGCCTATACTGTAGATATGGAAAGTGACAACAAACAACAAAGGGAAGTTGGAGAGACACAAAATATACATAAGACAAATTGTGACAACCTATGACTAGACTGATATGATTATGAGTGGCAATCACTTATGTTCGAAACCTTGTCATCCAGTAGTTAATACTGCATCACTGCCTAGTAATTAAAATAAACTTATCTAATATGGAATCCCATTCTATCACAATACCCAAGTTCTACACTTGCATTAAAAACATGAACACCTTACAAACAAGCACTCAAGAAGACAGTTGCAGAGAAGAGAATTTTCCTTTTGACGAAGTCATCATATAGACTGTACATTCGTGAATTTATATCAAATGGATAGGAAAGTTCCAGAATAATTTTTGGTTAAGGGTCAAATTAAAATAAAAATTACAATTAGGAATTAAAATGTCATAATAAACAGGGGGAAGGATAAAACTCGAACAAAGTAGCATCATAATTACTAAGAAAATTGACATTGTGCAGTTAGGGGTTAGAAATGTAGAAATAACAAAAATAGACAGGATGTTTGGATAAAAAAACTAATGTGGTGAATAGCTGTTAATGCAATCAGGGATTAAATGTGTAGAAATAGCAAAATGACAAAATAAACAGAAGTTCGGATATGAAAATATGGTAGTGTAAACAGAGATTAAGAAAACTTAAAAATAACATGAATAGACAGGAAGTTTAGATAAGAAAGGCGATGGGATGGTCATTACTAAAAAACATAATTTACCTGTTTATGACGGCCATGGCAGGGACAGGGGTTGAACGTATTTCTTTTGGATACAAAGCGTGGGTTTGAGCTTTGGCATAGCTACTGCCTCGGCTATGCCCATATGTCTTAATTTCACTCACTTTAGTAGGTTTGACTGAATCTTGTATATTACTTTGAAGGATTTTTCGAAAGGCGCTGAATGTTCTGAATTGACCAGATGTTCTGTCACTGAACTGTATGTATGTCTGTCTGTCTGGATTCAACATAGAACTTGGCACCGAAGTGCAGCAGTTCGAGTTGCCACGTTCCAAATAGCACACAGAGGTAGACAAGAAGATGAGTGAAGAGAATCAATAGAGTTTGACAAGTATAAGAGTGAAACAGAATGGGTAATGGTAGAAAGGAATATGAAAGATTACAGAGATTGAATACATCTGCGCCATTGACAACGATTTTGAGCCATGTCACCTATTGTCTCCAGCCATTGATTCCTAGAGTCCCGAGGGCCCCAACCCGGGAGTCTGCATCTCCCTACCTGACTCAGTTTAACTGTCAAGGATTTCATGGATTGATGCCATGTTTTTGTTTGGCCACCACTGGCTCTTTTCCAACCTGAACCTATATCAGCTAACAATGCCCGTCGGGGGAGGCGGTGGTTAGGCATGCGCAGCACGTGACCTAGCCATCTTAGTCTATGTAACTTTATAACCTCGTCGATTGATTTTCCCTCTTTGCCCAACACTCTACGCCTAACGTCAACATTACTTATCTTGTGAAACCACCTAACGTGAGACAGAGATCGCAGACATCTATGATCGAAAGCAGTCAACCTTTTCATGTCTTCAACGCGTATTGGCCATGTTTCAGAGCCATAGAGAAGGACGGAGCGAACTGATGAGCAGTACACACGTCCCTTGGTTGATAACCGGATGTCACGCCTACGCCAGAGATGGTGTAAGTCAGCGAAAGCAGCTCGAGCTTTTCGGATCCGTGCTGAGATTTCATCGCCAATCAGTCCGTTGGTGCTAATACAACTTCCCAAGTAGGTGAAGTGGTCAACATGTTCTATCACTTCACTCCCTATCACTAAGTTAGGGGTTGACGTCGTCCAGTCCTGTAGCAGCATCTTACATTTTGCAGGGGCGAATCGCATGCCAAACATACGAAGATTGCTGCTCAAGGTGTTCAGAAGACTCTGCATTTTGTCAGCATCCTCCCCTAACAGGACTATGTCATCTGCATATTCTAAGTCCATTAGATTATTCCCTGGTAACAAGTCGATTCCTAAGTCACTACGTTCAGTTAAGGATACTTCCATTAGCATATCTATGATGAAGTTAAACAGAAATGGGGAAAGTGGACATCCCTGTCGGACACCACTGGTTGTTACCAATTCAGATGACAATTCCCCATAAGCCCTTACACGACTACGTGAGTTTGAATAGAGTGCCTTGATTAGTGCAATGTACTTTCTTGGCACTCCCTTCACAGTCAGACATTGCCATAGTACTTTTCGGTCCACGGAGTCGAAGGCCGCCTTCAAGTCAAGAAATATGACAATTGTTGGACGCCGAAAAGTGTGTCTATGTTCTAGAATCTGTCGAAGAGTGAAGATATGATCTATGCACCCTCTACCTGGTCTAAAGCCTGCTTGATTTTCCCTTGTCTGTTCCTCCCGAGTTCTGCTTAGTCTATGCATGATTACTGAGCCTAGGATTTTAGAGACTATGTTCGTTAGGCTGATCCCCCTATGATTATCACACGAGGACTTGTTTCCCTTCTTGAATATCGGTATAATGAGTGACTTACCCCAGTCTGATGGTACTGTCTCTGATTCCCAGACTTTGCCTAGTACCTCAGTTAATCTACAAACTAGTATGTCACCCCCATATTTAAACACCTCCGGAATAATTCCGTCGGGTCCTGCCGCTTTGCCTCGTTTCAAATTACTGATAGCTTTTGTAACCTCACCTACAGACGGCGGACCAGTGTCTATATCCCATTCGGGTACGTGGTGGATGGCGGGGAGGTTCAGTGTGGCTGTAGGCAAGTTAAATTGTTCCTCAAAGTGTTCTTTCCAGCGTTCAAGGCGTCTATCCTGAGAGCTAATTAAGGAGCCATTTTTCTCAGAAATAGTCTCACTTATGAATTGCCTTTTCCCGCCCGATTCTGTGATGAGTCTAAAGAGTTGCCTAGTGTTGCCTATCGCCAATGCTTTTTCCATCTCTTTCGCCTTTGTCACCCACCACTGTTCACGGTCCTTGCGGAGACTTTTAGTAAGTTTCCTTTTGTGCAGCTTTCGCTCCTCATTGTATGTATACACGTTTTTGGTCTCCTTTTACTAACCAGGCTGGGTAGTGTTCATGAGCGTGTTTTTCAAGTCGGCGCATGGTACGGCCGATGTACTCAGCTCTCCATGAGCAAGTAAACTGGTATATGCACGTTGACGTGGCCCAATGCGACAACTTGTCTTTTGCGTTCTGGCTAAACAGTTTCTTGCAGGAAAACGTCAGTCGTAGGCTCGCGGCGAAGTCTGTTTTCCTTAGCGATTTGGAGAGGCGTTTACGAAGGATTTCTGCTTCAATGTCACCTTTGAATTCTAGATTAAGCAGAAGTATTTTCTTTGGAACGGATTGGAACTGTTCGGAAGTCTTCTTAGATTTGAGATTCTTGTCTATGAACCTGGACAGGACACCGTTTTCCATCAGGGTTTTTCGAAAATTGCGCAGTTCTTCTTCAATCACTTCCTCGCTGCATATCTTCCGAATCCTCGAGGAAAGAGCGTATATCAGGTTCCTCTTCCTGCTTAGGGGCACGAAGCTTTGAAAGTTGATGAATTGTCCATTCCATGTAGGCTTTTTGTAAGTAATCATCTCATAATGACCTTCAAACCACTGATATTAATTAATGTTGGAATTTCGTTAACAAGTGACATAATAAAATGGCTGGTGCGAGTCTCTTACACCTACTGGGTAACATCATGTGAGTAAATATATACGAGAACAATATGCTTACACTGCCTACAATACCAGAAGTAGGTTTTATATAGTTCAGTACATAATAAGAAAATTGAAAAATCGAATGAAACCTTTAGGGTAAGTTCTAATGTGACCGAAAACGCTACTCTCTAAACTCTATGAACAATCAATGGACGCTGTAGAATTAGAAATTTAAAAAAAAGCCAGGTAGTATAACATATTAACAGCTGGAGGATATGATAATGTAAGTTTTGTTTTACTTTTTTAACTCCAATTTTAAATAAGTTCGATTTTACTGTTTCTTTATAAATTACCAGCATAGAGTAAGAGTTCCTATTCTCTAGCAGATATAGAGGTATAATTTGGAGTATGTCAAGTGATAAACTAACCTTCGTGAACAGTAGTAATATGCAATCGAAGATACGATACGGTGGTAAAAGTCTTCCCACATATATCACATCTAGCTGTTCGATTATCTAGTGAAAGAGGAAAACACAGATAAAGACAACATAAAATTACATTTAGGTTAGTTCTACATTTTCCGTTGATTATATGCTCAGTTTTTGTTGACGTACCAGCCCTCAATAGAGACGCTTCAATGAGGTTTAAGGATTAACATGAAGTGACTATCAATGGAATCCAGCATGCGCATTTCCACCTATGTGGGATTCTTCAGCCAAATATATCTTCAATCCCAGTGAGTGGTGATGTTCCCACTGAGAGTCGACCCCTTCATCTATCAATTCTTATTGGAAACACCAACACTCACCAGGGATGAAGACATATCCAGTGACGAGTCCCAAAATGGGACAAAGTGCGCATCACGGACTCCACTGCTAGTCACTACCAGACTGTAGGTAATTCATAATGGTTCAGTAGATAGCAATTAGTGTAAATGCAAGACTGTGCATCGGTGGTTCAATGGTGGAACTCTCGCCAGGCTTCCATTCTTTGCCGACGCACTCCTAGACCTCGCTTTTCCTTTAAACAGTTGGGTAAAGAGGGTAAGGTTAGGCGTGGGGTTGGCAACTCAACCCTGTGAAAACAACACGGCCGCTACTGAAATTTCAAAAGTATGAAGCACTATGTTTCACTCGGAATGTAAAAGGAATGAAAAGATGCAACTCTATCAAAAAGAACCTCTACTCTGTTAATTACAGATGCGGAAACGTTAATAGTCTACGATGCAGTTTCACTTGGTCTTGTATCGTACTCTCCTAGATAAAGGCTAAACGTGAAAAATCGATATCCGAGATCAGCTTCGTACCTGCAGCCAAGTAATAAGACAACGGATTGAGTTTCCTGAGACTAACAGTCAGATTGGATCCGAGTGGAAAGACAGATGAAATTAAACAAATATTTTGAATCCCTTCAGCATATTTTATTAACTAATAACGATTTATGACGGAATTCAAGCGTGCGTTATCTTAAAGATAAAAATCAATTATTTAGCATGTAAATTATACGAGAATTGTATTGAATATTCGTAAAAAGAGAATAGGACTCAGTTTCTTACCTTGATGGACAGCATCAATATGAGCTCGTAAACTTGTCACATCTGAGAAGGATTTTCGACAATTCGGACAAGGGATAGGACTATTAGATCCTTAAAAGGGAAATAATTTAAAATAACCAATCAAATTAGTGTCCTTATTATATTATTTTTTGGGAGTTATTCTGATTAGTGAATACAGACAGTATACACAAAAAACCAGCTAGGTAATAATGATAAGTCGTGACCAGTGGGGTCCATCCAGTCGGGTGTGGTATGGAGTTCCCACCAATGACATTGGTTGGTGGTCGCGTTAAAATCAAGAATTGATAGAAGTTAGAATTTATGGACTGGCCACTAAATCGGCTCCCAGTGACTGGATGGTATACTAGCTTGCCACATTACCGGGAAGTCCTGGGTTCGAAACCCAGTGGGTGCCTACTGCCGATGAGTCCCAAACTAGGCTGACGAAACAGCTGCCCAGTACTCGGTGGTTTTCAATGGTTCTCTAAATGATATCAATCCGTGGTCTAACCTAAAAAAAAGAATCCCTACAAACTAATCCTTGAAAACTTACTACACATGTTGGTTAGTTAAAGTTCATGTTTAGCTGTCATTATAGGACTATTATATTCTTAGAGTTCGCTTACAGTGAGGACGACAAATTCGGTCTGCTTAACTAAAATTTCAATTTCATCAACCAAAGTTTATCAAACTAACGCTGAAAATTAACTGATTCATAATATATACAGAATCCATTTAACATAAAGAATAGATAAGACAAATTGTCATTAAGCTACAGTTTTAAATTCTAAGCTGTCATTAAGTGGTGGTCACAAAGCACTTACCCGGTGCAGATTTTTTATGTATTAGACTATGTATCACACATACTGTGTGGGGGCTGATGATACCAGTTAGTTGCTAAGACTAAAGTGGATGGAGTGGTATTTAAATCCTAAACCATTTGACTGGAAAGCGAGTCACATCTCTGCTGTCAACGAATATTATTTAGATAGAACTGGCGTGGGGTTGGCAACTCAACCTTGTGAAAACAACACGGCCGCTACTGAAATTTCAAAAGTATGAAGCACTATGTTTCACTCGGAATGTAAAAGGAATGAAAAGATGCAACTCTATCAAAAAGAACCTCTACTCTGTTAATTACAGATGCGGAAACGTTAATAGTCTACGATGCAGTTTCACTTGGTCTTGTATCGTACTCTCCTAGATAAAGGCTAAACGTGAAAAATCGATATCCGAGATCAGCTTCGTACCTGCAGCCAAGTAATAAGACAACGGATTGAGTTTCCTGAGACTAACAGTCAGATTGGATCCGAGTGGAAAGACAGATGAAATTAAACAAATATTTTGAATCCCTTCAGCATATTTTATTAACTAATAACGATTTATGACGGAATTCAAGCGTGCGTTATCTTAAAGATAAAAATCAATTATTTAGCATGTAAATTATACGAGAATTGTATTGAATATTCGTAAAAAGAGAATAGGACTCAGTTTCTTACCTTGATGGACAGCATCAATATGAGCTCGTAAACTTGTCACATCTGAGAAGGATTTTCGACAATTCGGACAAGGGATAGGACTATTAGATCCTTAAAAGGGAAATAATTTAAAATAACCAATCAAATTAGTGTCCTTATTATATTATTTTTTGGGAGTTATTCTGATTAGTGAATACAGACAGTATACACAAAAAACCAGCTAGGTAATAATGATAAGTCGTGACCAGTGGGGTCCATCCAGTCGGGTGTGGTATGGAGTTCCCACCAATGACATTGGTTGGTGGTCGCGTTAAAATCAAGAATTGATAGAAGTTAGAATTTATGGACTGGCCACTAAATCGGCTCCCAGTGACTGGATGGTATACTAGCTTGCCACATTACCGGGAAGTCCTGGGTTCGAAACCCAGTGGGTGCCTACTGCCGATGAGTCCCAAACTAGGCTGACGAAACAGCTGCCCAGTACTCGGTGGTTTTCAATGGTTCTCTAAATGATATCAATCCGTGGTCTAACCTAAAAAAAAGAATCCCTACAAACTAATCCTTGAAAACTTACTACACATGTTGGTTAGTTAAAGTTCATGTTTAGCTGTCATTATAGGACTATTATATTCTTAGAGTTCGCTTACAGTGAGGACGACAAATTCGGTCTGCTTAACTAAAATTTCAATTTCATCAACCAAAGTTTATCAAACTAACGCTGAAAATTAACTGATTCATAATATATACAGAATCCATTTAACATAAAGAATAGATAAGACAAATTGTCATTAAGCTACAGTTTTAAATTCTAAGCTGTCATTAAGTGGTGGTCACAAAGCACTTACCCGGTGCAGATTTTTTATGTATTAGACTATGTATCACACATACTGTGTGGGGGCTGATGATACCAGTTAGTTGCTAAGACTAAAGTGGATGGAGTGGTATTTAAATCCTAAACCATTTGACTGGAAAGCGAGTCACATCTCTGCTGTCAACGAATATTATTTAGATAGAACTGGCGTGGGGTTGGCAACTCAACCTTGTGAAAACAACACGGCCGCTACTGAAATTTCAAAAGTATGAAGCACTATGTTTCACTCGGAATGTAAAAGGAATGAAAAGATGCAACTCTATCAAAAAGAACCTCTACTCTGTTAATTACAGATGCGGAAACGTTAATAGTCTACGATGCAGTTTCACTTGGTCTTGTATCGTACTCTCCTAGATAAAGGCTAAACGTGAAAAATCGATATCCGAGATCAGCTTCGTACCTGCAGCCAAGTAATAAGACAACGGATTGAGTTTCCTGAGACTAACAGTCAGATTGGATCCGAGTGGAAAGACAGATGAAATTAAACAAATATTTTGAATCCCTTCAGCATATTTTATTAACTAATAACGATTTATGACGGAATTCAAGCGTGCGTTATCTTAAAGATAAAAATCAATTATTTAGCATGTAAATTATACGAGAATTGTATTGAATATTCGTAAAAAGAGAATAGGACTCAGTTTCTTACCTTGATGGACAGCATCAATATGAGCTCGTAAACTTGTCACATCTGAGAAGGATTTTCGACAATTCGGACAAGGGATAGGACTATTAGATCCTTAAAAGGGAAATAATTTAAAATAACCAATCAAATTAGTGTCCTTATTATATTATTTTTTGGGAGTTATTCTGATTAGTGAATACAGACAGTATACACAAAAAACCAGCTAGGTAATAATGATAAGTCGTGACCAGTGGGGTCCATCCAGTCGGGTGTGGTATGGAGTTCCCACCAATGACATTGGTTGGTGGTCGCGTTAAAATCAAGAATTGATAGAAGTTAGAATTTATGGACTGGCCACTAAATCGGCTCCCAGTGACTGGATGGTATACTAGCTTGCCACATTACCGGGAAGTCCTGGGTTCGAAACCCAGTGGGTGCCTACTGCCGATGAGTCCCAAACTAGGCTGACGAAACAGCTGCCCAGTACTCGGTGGTTTTCAATGGTTCTCTAAATGATATCAATCCGTGGTCTAACCTAAAAAAAAGAATCCCTACAAACTAATCCTTGAAAACTTACTACACATGTTGGTTAGTTAAAGTTCATGTTTAGCTGTCATTATAGGACTATTATATTCTTAGAGTTCGCTTACAGTGAGGACGACAAATTCGGTCTGCTTAACTAAAATTTCAATTTCATCAACCAAAGTTTATCAAACTAACGCTGAAAATTAACTGATTCATAATATATACAGAATCCATTTAACATAAAGAATAGATAAGACAAATTGTCATTAAGCTACAGTTTTAAATTCTAAGCTGTCATTAAGTGGTGGTCACAAAGCACTTACCCGGTGCAGATTTTTTATGTATTAGACTATGTATCACACATACTGTGTGGGGGCTGATGATACCAGTTAGTTGCTAAGACTAAAGTGGATGGAGTGGTATTTAAATCCTAAACCATTTGACTGGAAAGCGAGTCACATCTCTGCTGTCAACGAATATTATTTAGATAGAACTGGCGTGGGGTTGGCAACTCAACCTTGTGAAAACAACACGGCCGCTACTGAAATTTCAAAAGTATGAAGCACTATGTTTCACTCGGAATGTAAAAGGAATGAAAAGATGCAACTCTATCAAAAAGAACCTCTACTCTGTTAATTACAGATGCGGAAACGTTAATAGTCTACGATGCAGTTTCACTTGGTCTTGTATCGTACTCTCCTAGATAAAGGCTAAACGTGAAAAATCGATATCCGAGATCAGCTTCGTACCTGCAGCCAAGTAATAAGACAACGGATTGAGTTTCCTGAGACTAACAGTCAGATTGGATCCGAGTGGAAAGACAGATGAAATTAAACAAATATTTTGAATCCCTTCAGCATATTTTATTAACTAATAACGATTTATGACGGAATTCAAGCGTGCGTTATCTTAAAGATAAAAATCAATTATTTAGCATGTAAATTATACGAGAATTGTATTGAATATTCGTAAAAAGAGAATAGGACTCAGTTTCTTACCTTGATGGACAGCATCAATATGAGCTCGTAAACTTGTCACATCTGAGAAGGATTTTCGACAATTCGGACAAGGGATAGGACTATTAGATCCTTAAAAGGGAAATAATTTAAAATAACCAATCAAATTAGTGTCCTTATTATATTATTTTTTGGGAGTTATTCTGATTAGTGAATACAGACAGTATACACAAAAAACCAGCTAGGTAATAATGATAAGTCGTGACCAGTGGGGTCCATCCAGTCGGGTGTGGTATGGAGTTCCCACCAATGACATTGGTTGGTGGTCGCGTTAAAATCAAGAATTGATAGAAGTTAGAATTTATGGACTGGCCACTAAATCGGCTCCCAGTGACTGGATGGTATACTAGCTTGCCACATTACCGGGAAGTCCTGGGTTCGAAACCCAGTGGGTGCCTACTGCCGATGAGTCCCAAACTAGGCTGACGAAACAGCTGCCCAGTACTCGGTGGTTTTCAATGGTTCTCTAAATGATATCAATCCGTGGTCTAACCTAAAAAAAAGAATCCCTACAAACTAATCCTTGAAAACTTACTACACATGTTGGTTAGTTAAAGTTCATGTTTAGCTGTCATTATAGGACTATTATATTCTTAGAGTTCGCTTACAGTGAGGACGACAAATTCGGTCTGCTTAACTAAAATTTCAATTTCATCAACCAAAGTTTATCAAACTAACGCTGAAAATTAACTGATTCATAATATATACAGAATCCATTTAACATAAAGAATAGATAAGACAAATTGTCATTAAGCTACAGTTTTAAATTCTAAGCTGTCATTAAGTGGTGGTCACAAAGCACTTACCCGGTGCAGATTTTTTATGTATTAGACTATGTATCACACATACTGTGTGGGGGCTGATGATACCAGTTAGTTGCTAAGACTAAAGTGGATGGAGTGGTATTTAAATCCTAAACCATTTGACTGGAAAGCGAGTCACATCTCTGCTGTCAACGAATATTATTTAGATAGAACTGGCGTGGGGTTGGCAACTCAACCTTGTGAAAACAACACGGCCGCTACTGAAATTTCAAAAGTATGAAGCACTATGTTTCACTCGGAATGTAAAAGGAATGAAAAGATGCAACTCTATCAAAAAGAACCTCTACTCTGTTAATTACAGATGCGGAAACGTTAATAGTCTACGATGCAGTTTCACTTGGTCTTGTATCGTACTCTCCTAGATAAAGGCTAAACGTGAAAAATCGATATCCGAGATCAGCTTCGTACCTGCAGCCAAGTAATAAGACAACGGATTGAGTTTCCTGAGACTAACAGTCAGATTGGATCCGAGTGGAAAGACAGATGAAATTAAACAAATATTTTGAATCCCTTCAGCATATTTTATTAACTAATAACGATTTATGACGGAATTCAAGCGTGCGTTATCTTAAAGATAAAAATCAATTATTTAGCATGTAAATTATACGAGAATTGTATTGAATATTCGTAAAAAGAGAATAGGACTCAGTTTCTTACCTTGATGGACAGCATCAATATGAGCTCGTAAACTTGTCACATCTGAGAAGGATTTTCGACAATTCGGACAAGGGATAGGACTATTAGATCCTTAAAAGGGAAATAATTTAAAATAACCAATCAAATTAGTGTCCTTATTATATTATTTTTTGGGAGTTATTCTGATTAGTGAATACAGACAGTATACACAAAAAACCAGCTAGGTAATAATGATAAGTCGTGACCAGTGGGGTCCATCCAGTCGGGTGTGGTATGGAGTTCCCACCAATGACATTGGTTGGTGGTCGCGTTAAAATCAAGAATTGATAGAAGTTAGAATTTATGGACTGGCCACTAAATCGGCTCCCAGTGACTGGATGGTATACTAGCTTGCCACATTACCGGGAAGTCCTGGGTTCGAAACCCAGTGGGTGCCTACTGCCGATGAGTCCCAAACTAGGCTGACGAAACAGCTGCCCAGTACTCGGTGGTTTTCAATGGTTCTCTAAATGATATCAATCCGTGGTCTAACCTAAAAAAAAGAATCCCTACAAACTAATCCTTGAAAACTTACTACACATGTTGGTTAGTTAAAGTTCATGTTTAGCTGTCATTATAGGACTATTATATTCTTAGAGTTCGCTTACAGTGAGGACGACAAATTCGGTCTGCTTAACTAAAATTTCAATTTCATCAACCAAAGTTTATCAAACTAACGCTGAAAATTAACTGATTCATAATATATACAGAATCCATTTAACATAAAGAATAGATAAGACAAATTGTCATTAAGCTACAGTTTTAAATTCTAAGCTGTCATTAAGTGGTGGTCACAAAGCACTTACCCGGTGCAGATTTTTTATGTATTAGACTATGTATCACACATACTGTGTGGGGGCTGATGATACCAGTTAGTTGCTAAGACTAAAGTGGATGGAGTGGTATTTAAATCCTAAACCATTTGACTGGAAAGCGAGTCACATCTCTGCTGTCAACGAATATTATTTAGATAGAACTGGCGTGGGGTTGGCAACTCAACCTTGTGAAAACAACACGGCCGCTACTGAAATTTCAAAAGTATGAAGCACTATGTTTCACTCGGAATGTAAAAGGAATGAAAAGATGCAACTCTATCAAAAAGAACCTCTACTCTGTTAATTACAGATGCGGAAACGTTAATAGTCTACGATGCAGTTTCACTTGGTCTTGTATCGTACTCTCCTAGATAAAGGCTAAATGTGAAAAATCGATATCCGAGATCAGCTTCGTACCTGCAGCCAAGTAATAAGACAACGGATTGAGTTTCCTGAGACTAACAGTCAGATTGGATCCGAGTGGAAAGACAGATGAAATTAAACAAATATTTTGAATCCCTTCAGCATATTTTATTAACTAATAACGATTTATGACGGAATTCAAGCGTGCGTTATCTTAAAGATAAAAATCAATTATTTAGCATGTAAATTATACGAGAATTGTATTGAATATTCGTAAAAAGAGAATAGGACTCAGTTTCTTACCTTGATGGACAGCATCAATATGAGCTCGTAAACTTGTCACATCTGAGAAGGATTTTCGACAATTCGGACAAGGGATAGGACTATTAGATCCTTAAAAGGGAAATAATTTAAAATAACCAATCAAATTAGTGTCCTTATTATATTATTTTTTGGGAGTTATTCTGATTAGTGAATACAGACAGTATACACAAAAAACCAGCTAGGTAATAATGATAAGTCGTGACCAGTGGGGTCCATCCAGTCGGGTGTGGTATGGAGTTCCCACCAATGACATTGGTTGGTGGTCGCGTTAAAATCAAGAATTGATAGAAGTTAGAATTTATGGACTGGCCACTAAATCGGCTCCCAGTGACTGGATGGTATACTAGCTTGCCACATTACCGGGAAGTCCTGGGTTCGAAACCCAGTGGGTGCCTACTGCCGATGAGTCCCAAACTAGGCTGACGAAACAGCTGCCCAGTACTCGGTGGTTTTCAATGGTTCTCTAAATGATATCAATCCGTGGTCTAACCTAAAAAAAAGAATCCCTACAAACTAATCCTTGAAAACTTACTACACATGTTGGTTAGTTAAAGTTCATGTTTAGCTGTCATTATAGGACTATTATATTCTTAGAGTTCGCTTACAGTGAGGACGACAAATTCGGTCTGCTTAACTAAAATTTCAATTTCATCAACCAAAGTTTATCAAACTAACGCTGAAAATTAACTGATTCATAATATATACAGAATCCATTTAACATAAAGAATAGATAAGACAAATTGTCATTAAGCTACAGTTTTAAATTCTAAGCTGTCATTAAGTGGTGGTCACAAAGCACTTACCCGGTGCAGATTTTTTATGTATTAGACTATGTATCACACATACTGTGTGGGGGCTGATGATACCAGTTAGTTGCTAAGACTAAAGTGGATGGAGTGGTATTTAAATCCTAAACCATTTGACTGGAAAGCGAGTCACATCTCTGCTGTCAACGAATATTATTTAGATAGAACTGATACCTACCTGAAGAGATTAACTTATACGCAATCTAGTTTAGAGCGGATATACACTACTACTATTAGTAAAAATTACACAAAAAGGAAGTGGATATGAGAAAATAACACTAATAACTACAATTGAATAACCAGTCACCGACTATTTTTCTTATTCATTTGAGCTCCGAGAGGAACATAGGGCTTTAAGCTACAGTTTTGAAGTCACAGTTACACTGGTGGGTTTATTCTACGGGGTTGTAGAATCGCTAGTCTTACACCCAACCTTCTTATTTTTATCCAGCTTACTATGAGCTAAGCGAGGTTTAGGAATGCGCCAGCTGGGAGTTGAACCACAGACCACATGCGTGGTTAGAGAGTGATTCACCGAATATGACCACTGCTTAGCTGTAAGAACTAGTGGTCAAGCGAGATTTAAAACAATCGATGAAAGTTACTTCTTTAAACCATTCAGTAGTTTGAGAGTTGACAAGCAGATATGAGGATTATTACATTCTATTAACATGAAAAAAAGCAAAACGAATTTATATTAATTAAGAATAACGTTTTTACAAAATCGAATGTTGAACAATTTTCCCAGAAACTAGTAATATACTAAGAAATTTAAACTATACTACAAAACGGAAGTAACAAACAAATTATGAGCAACAAGAACAATTACGTGAGTAGACTTCAAGTGAATTTTAACTATTATGCATGATCTTATTGTCAGTTTAAGAAACAAATGACACCTTGTAGGCGAAAAATCTACATAAAGATGCACTGTCAATAAAAAAAAGTAAAAATTGATCTATTATTCAGCTTTATTCTCCTTTTTACCAAGATGAGACTGATTACAGCTCACGAAAATTTGTTTTTGATGACTATTCACATTTATGACTCAGACATGAATAGACAAGAATTTTAAACATACAAAATGTATCCTTTCCTGTATACCTTTATTATTTTTATTTTATTTATTATTTTTCTCGAATCACTTTACACTAGGCTTGTCGAACGAAACGTTGGAATGACTCATCTTAATTTCACTGAGATTTATATGAATGTAATCTTCCCAAAGCTTGATTAGAGTTCATATGGATTAAATTAGTCATTTAATAGTTAAATAATTTAAGGCGAAAGTCTACTACAATTACTACTTCCATCTACGATCTAACTGAGCTAATTCTAGACAGCTACACAGCTAGGCTCAAAACGTATTTATTCAGCTATCCAGTGCTCAGTAAGCTAGTAAGCAATATATGATATGAATAGTGGTTTCCAACTACTCATATCGATCGATAGTACATATTACGAAATTACTTAAGATTATTTCTTTTTAGGATGAAAGTTATAAGAAACATAACTTACGAGATGTTAATTCTTCATTATGCGAAGGACGAGAAATATGACATCTCAAGTCAATCTAAGAAAAGAAAAGGAATAGATAGGTGAAGGCAAAAGTCATTTGTCTCAGCACAACATATTATCATCCCTTAGCAAAGAAAGACCAGATATATAATATAATAAAAAACAGCTACAATGGCTGATAAAACAGAATTCAAAATCCTAAGACTTTATGATACATTTCAACTTATGGTAATAATCCATTCTGATGTAATGACAGATTAAATCTTAGGTAACAGGTGGACCATCTCAGTCTGCGAAACCAGGCGGTAACATAAGCCATCACGTGATCTCTGATTCACATTCAGGTATACGAGTATCGGCTAATCTATTTGTTAGTAAATTATCGTTGCTCTTTTGAACAAATTTTTAATATTTTTTTTGTGCGTTGAGATTTCTCTAACGGTTTGATAGGTTTTGTGGGGCAGGGTTGCTAACTCCACGCCCAATCCTCCCTCTTTACTCGGACTTGGGACCGGCTAGAAAACTAACGACCTAGCGAACCAGGCGAAGTTTAAAGGTGTGCATCGGCCGAGGATCGAACCCCGTACCACTTGTGTGGTTGGCCATTGTTCTACCACTAAGCCGCCAACGCCTTATTTACAGGTTCCTTCGCTTCATATTGAAGATCAGGTTGCCAGAAAGAATCAGCAACAAGAAACTTTGGCAACGGACCAACCAAGAGGCGATTACTCAACAAATATTTAGGAGAAAATGGAGATGGATCGGGCATACGTTGAGGAGGCAATCGAATGACTACGCGCGCAGTGCAGGCCATCGATCGAGTGGAATCCCAATGGGAAAGCGACGAGTGGGTCGTCGGTACGAGGGAGACGTGGAGGAGATTAGAGATTATGGGCAATCGTAGACCAAAGAGAACAAAGCGGAGATGTGTTGTTGAAGCCCTATGTTCCATTCTGAACCCAAGGGAATAATAACAAGTAATTCTGAACAGATTAAGCATAAAGAATAAAAGAAAATAGATTTCGGCGACAAAACTCATTGAAGTAAACTTGTTTGAAAGATTGTGAGATGCTATTAACTGAAATTTCCAAAACAGAAAGCAATTCCTCCGTCATCAATTACATCGGTATGCAGTAATGCTGATCGGAGCAAAACTCGAAAGAAGTTACACTGAAGTATTTTAGTATCGATAAGACACTACAGAAATCAATAGCTAAATAATAGCTTATTTTAAACTATACCAATCGATCTTTTGTGTTTGTTTGTTAGTAAATATGCACTGCAATGGTTGACCAAGAGTGCAAGACAAGCAGATAAAGGCTAATCACATGATAATACATCTAGGGATCAAATCAATTTCCGGCCTTAATTTTGAAATGAGAGCAAGCGAACAGTTATCAAACAGAAAAAACAAGATTCCCCTGGCTTAAAAGCCGGACAATCGATTAAAACTGTCTTTTACATACAATTCGACAATGATACTCCAACAATCCGCAATGAAAGACACAAAAATCAATGCAATTATTTGAAGACGAAGAAATCTAACCTAAAAAGAAGTTCAATTAAGAGAATTAGAAATAATTGGAAATTAATATGCTATCGAATTCATCAAAGAGTGCCTAGAAATACTGACGAAAAATGCCTAAAATTCATTTCCGTGTACAGTGGAAACGAAAATGATATTTGGACTTGTTTTAAACGTCAGTCGACAATAATTAAAGACTTTAAATAGTAGGAAAATTACAAGAACGGCTTCAAATTGCGTTGCAGTTGTCTACTGTCAGTTTAAAATATGGAAAAATTGGAGTCCCTAAGTCTTCCAACTACTGAGCAGACATAGGAGGATTCTAATTAAACAGCATAAAATCCAGTACTGACTGGTATATGCAAGAAAGCTTATGTCGGTAGAAGAGCCAAACAATCACTTATAACGTTACTTCTTCCTATTTAGACTTTATCATTTATTAAAACACGAATTCGGCACATTATGGGCACGAAGAGAGGCACCACACAAATTCTATAGTTTGTGCGAGATCCGAGATACTGTCTGGACACCCGGACAAAAACAGATGGTTGTCCTAAGAGGCCACTCTCTAAGTCTTTAACTTAAAGTCTGATCCACAAGACAGTGGATCAGTGTCAGGAGCTAGGTTTCCATGGTTGACGGGGACAGAAACAGGTTAAAGAACTATTCAATCCTTTCGGACTCTAGAGCCATGTACACGACAAGTTTGGAATCAGGGCTTTCTGGCTCCTTTAGGTATATCTACATGTTCATTAGTCCGGTTTTTGAACACCAGACGTTCACACTCAACCTTTTACCTTTGTGAGGAATACCCCCGCAGTGTAAAGGCGATGAACAGGAATTACTTAACAGATGCTAAGAACGCGTAGTCATATGAGAGCACTTGGAGAGGAAGACCAAAGTGTACACAAAACTCGACCGTATCGGGTCGTTTATGAGGCGGGGTGCATTTATCTGATGCAACGTACAGTTTGAAACCTTTTTCAATCCACCGAGAAACTTGATTCCATCGATGTTGAATCTTCGTGTACTTTAGTACGAAACTTTTACACTAAGAGTACTGTCAGCACATATTACTGACTCACTATAAAGTCTGTGAGTCTCAGAACCAATTATTATAATAACACGGATAATTATTCTCAATTCGATCATTTCGGAGGCAATGAAAGCATTTTGTGACCATGTACTCACTAAGAGGCTTGTATGTCAAACTATCCATCCTGAATCTATTCAGTGAAAATTATGCAAAATATAGGTGAAGTATTGAGTTTTCATTATAACCACCGTGTAATTATCACATACTTATAGGCCACAAGTTAACTAACATAAGACAAACGTTTTGTAAACACAGTAATCAATACACTGCACAGTATTTCGATGAAGTATGGAAAACAACATACACGAAAAGCATGTGTTATCATTTACTTTAGGTAGAACCATTATTTAACCAATGCAGAAGTTTATGATACAGTTTTAGGTCAGGTAAGTAATTCAGACCGATGAATCTATTCACCTGACACCTCATGTAGTTGTCAGACACATCTATCTACAATCTACCTAAACGCGCTATGTTAGCGGAAGTAAGATGTATTTTGGAAGAAAGCGGAGAATGAACAGACTAAAAACTACACCAGTGCATTGATTTCTTGAGTACTTTTTTACGGCGGCGCAACGATAATAGATTACCAAGCTGTAACCCCCGGAATACAAAGTTAGATACTTTGGGTTGCATGGTCGAGCACTATAATTTTTTGGATAGAGTTACCCTTAACCACTCTTTTGACAATTACGTCTTACTAGCCATCATCTTTTTTTGCTGTATGGTATTTTACTACTTCCAACGATGTAATTCGCGATGATTTTCCTTTTCGACTTTCTTTCACCTACTACAGGTGTAACTATGCAAAGTGGCAAACCTGCTCTCTAAGTGGTCATGCTGTTTCGACATTGTGTTACATTAGAAATGCTATACGTGTTTAAAGATTTTTTCAGCTTACTGGCGCAGGGTCGTCATTTTCGCCATTTGTTGGGTTAAAATCGAAAGAATCAGCAACTTCTGAAAGGAAATAATAAAAAGCGTTAGTAACTTGGTGAGGTGAATTACTTCACGTATATCGATTTGTACTGTCATGACATTTATTAGACTCATGGCACATACATTTAATGAAACATTAAAAGCAGTGAGTCTGTATTAATAGAATGACAACCTAACTGAGTAAAATCATAAGCCACAAAGGCACTTAATACATGAATACCCATCTCACTAACTTACCTTTTTTCATCTCAGAGTTCATGGATTAACTTAAAGCCTCAAGTGATATACCCATCTCTACACAAAGATTCTAATATTCCTATATATATATAGACGGTACAATTTTATAGAATGCTTAGAAAGATTCTTTATCCGTGCTGAGACTTCATCGACTAACAATTGACTACAATAAGTTATCAATGACTACCAAGTTAAAAACAATTCCCAGAGAAAATAGTCAGGAAAAGATTGTTGTGACACATTTAATGAGAAAACTTTCTTCAATTGACTGTCAAGCAAGAGTGAAGATAGTAAAGATGCCAATCAGCATTCATGTGTGTGTGCCCTTATCCATTGAAAAATAGCAAAACTTCGTCCAGGCATGCATTAGTTTGCCTTAATATTTGTGAAAATAGAATGAGACAGGTTTAATATGGCAGCAGCCAATAGTATCTATCTACCAGCAATTTAATAATCAAAAACTATATGCCTAAACCAAACCATAGGAAATGAAATTACAGAGTCGTGACAAAATGACAACCAGAAGACTACTTTGACAAGAAAGCCACTCTTCAGATAATTTGCTAACTTGATTAGAATCGCAATATTTGTGTTACCATTAGCCATAATCAGTCATGTCATTGAGAGTTCTAACAGGATTTTCAGTCACCTCAAGTAGTAGTTTAGCTACCTTAAGTTTTTCTATATCTTTGTTTATTTACTTGTAGTAATATTTGTCATATTAAGCCAAAACCCTCCAAAAGTAATCCAACTCCCGTAAACTTACCTTCATGTACAACATTGATGTGCGTATGGAGAGATTTAATACTTGGGAATGTTTGGCCACACAAGCAGCATAAGCTCAACTGATCATCTGTCAAGAGAGAGCACATATTTTCACTTGAAGCAATTACAAACAAAAAAACAAGTGCTGAAATGATAGTAATGTAGGAAGAAATTCGAGCAACAGTTAACTGCGAGACCTAATAGTAAACCGAACTATGAAATGAATCCCACTTCTTGTTAGCTAAATTGTTTCAAAAAATAACGAGAAGTGAAATTCGGTGATTACCTAAAAGTTTGTGTGCTAAACTCATTCACTCCTGTGGTGGGAGAGTTAGTAGTATTATGTGGTAGAGAAACAGGTTTGGCTTAAGCTCATGGTCAAATGAGCAATAGTCTTGTTGGTTAACCAATAATAGTTTGATATTATTGGTAGAACTGACGTTTCCGTGCTGTCTCGTTATGACGCTATGAGGTGCTCATACTTTAAAGAGCGAAGCGAGAACTGTCTTCGCTTAACATAAAGATAAAAGTGAAAAGTGTATAGACATATTGTATGGCCCCCGACTTTAGTATTCCTTGAAAATGATTAAATTTGATGAGTAGTACACTTAACAATTGAATAAGCACCCTTCAAGTAACAAAAAGACAAATTTAAAACCGAACTACCGACATTTTCTTCAGAGTTACAAGTCTTCCCTAATGCCCTATATATATATATATAGGGCATTAGGGAAGACATATATATGTTAAAACAGTAACAAGAGGAATGCATCTACTGCCATCACGATATTCATGCTTGGAAGTGAGAATTTTCAATAAAAATGAGCAATAAAGCTGAGGACAACTGATACAGAGAGTGAAAATCAAGACCATTTATAAAACATACCTTCAGGACCAGGGCTGCTCACTATGTCACAAACGTTAGACTTGTTTCCATATCTCTGTGAAAAAAGAATGCGAATTAGACAAGATTTGAGAAACGTGAATTCCAAGATTTGTCGTCGTAGCAATTACTTACGTTACTGCCCATCACTACTTTCATACTCCCAAGAGGTCAGCCGTAATGCGCCAAACACATTTTATTGAAGAAAGAGCGCTCGCAATCTCAAGGTCGAAAGTGATTAGATAATTCAAAAAGTCATCGTTATATTGTTGCCGACCATATAAACGCTCTTGTGTGCGAATACGAGGGTTGATTCATCAGAGGTAATTGCGAAGTAAGGCAAGAGATGAAGTAACATCCGTTCCTTCTGGAGGAATACACCGCTATGACTATCCTATTTGGCTTTTAAACCATTCATTATGGTAATCTCTACTGTCATCTCCCATGACAGTCAACTGTATTTGGCTGTCTGGTAACGGAATCAAAGTTCAAGTTATCGCTAATTTAACAATGGCTTCTCAGTGTGCATCATTAAATCTCAAATAAGCAATGTTAATCGGTTGTCAGGTATATAAAGCCATTATATGAAAAAGACTAAATTCAACTATCATTTGATTTATTAGTGTTAAAATCCAAATTATTCTAAATCCCCCCTCACAGGTTAGATTTTAAGGTTCTATGTCAAGCTTAGTGTGCATTTGAGATGATGGATGTAGATAGTTACACGAGATACGGTATTTGCAAATACTAGTGTGCATCCGCCAACTTTTTTAGTACTTCTTCTTCCTAAATCAGACGAAAATTGTACGGTGGATTAGTCGTCCAAAATACGAGATCAGATCAGAATCAGGATCGTACAGTGATGGTAGTTGTTTAGGTAGGCAGTTGTGGTGATTACTATATCACACTATACCAGCCTTAATAAATGTAATGAGCCTAACAAATACTAAATCCTGATGTTATCTGACTTTTACGCACTGATAACCCGACAAAAATCGAAAGACTCAGTTATTTAGCATGATACCCTAATGAGCAACGTATTTAAGCAGAATATGAATGTTAAGGTTGTTAAAGGAGATTTTAAGATTTATCTGGCTAGTATGGTTGAGCCACGGACACAGAGAAATGCGCGTATTATCAGCACAGCGTGGAAGCGCACTCAAGCGGGAAAAAGATGAAGTAGCATCACCGTACATGAATTCGTTAAAAACAAAAACTCAAAACATTCAAGGTGTACTACAGGTTGCCCCTTACTTAGAAGGTTGGTTGGACACTGACGACCTTCGATCAGAGCATACGACGTATTTAGAGACACAGCAACCCTCAGAGAAGAAGGAAGATTAAAAAGAAATGGAGATGAAGGGTGAAGGAAAAAACTTAAGCTGAGTAGGGGCAATATGTGCATGGTAAGTGGAGTAAAGCGGAATTTGGGGAGAAAGAACACTCGCTATCTTAGCTCGATTTTTGCAGAGTTTTAAGTTGTTGTTTGATTTTTCATGTATTTATTATTTTTAATTTTCCATTGATCATATTCATCTTTTTAACTATGCACATGAATGGGGCTTGGAGCCACCCACTTATTGTTCATGGGAGGCTGGTGATACCAACCTGTCCCGCAGGCTATAGTAGAGGGAGTATGATTCAGCGGCTTTAAGTTGGGTCTCAGATCAATGCTTCACTCCTCCATTTCTAGATCCAGTACAGTCGGCACCAAATACAGCGAATATACCGGCGTAGCGGAAAGAATAAGGTGCGAGAAAAAGAAGAAAAGAAAAACGGGAGAAAATGTGAAGATTTCCACATAGACATGATATTGACACAAAAGAATGAGCAGAGTAATTACCCAGAAACATGGCGAAAACATGAAAGTTATACCCCATGTGAAATAAAAAAATCAAAATTGGTAAGAGTAAGGCAGTTGCTCGAGGTCACATGGCAAGGTGTATAAAGAACTGAAAAGTGATAGGTGGTTACAATTAGTAGAAACATTTTGCAAATGGAATAACTAACATGCTGAAAAATGTTTACAAGCAGGTTTATTGTGAAAAGTTGCAGCCGCGATTAGACTTAGAAGATTCTGTCAGGATAGTTTCAGAAAATAAAAATTACAGAATAGAAGCTACAAATTTTTGCCCAGAGCTAATCTTGGTTTCCGAAAGCTGTATGAACCAGTTTTCACTCATTCTTTTATTCTTTTTGTGTGCAGGCGAAGAGAGACTGTCCGCTATTTCATACATTGTGAGAACAACGAGATGACATTAAGGCCAATGGCTCAAACTGTCGTAGCTGGCAGCGAGAGGTAAAATGTCAAAATAGTTTTCGTGAAGTAAAACTAAGGAACTGCATGCGCGTTTAAAAATGGTGTTAGTACTTTGTGATGAAATAGATCGAGAGGATTAGTACAGGTAAAAACACCTACTGGCACAAACAAACCAAACAGAGCAAATACCGTGAGGAATAATTACTGTAACTTCAGAAAAAAAGAAATAACTATTAGATCAGGCCAAATGTAAGATCAATTAGTTAGCGAATTCAGCGTACCACTTGGGCCAGTGCACACGCCGACTAGTGCGATTAGATAGCGCACTAACGTTGGTACTGCGTGAAAAATCATCAGAATGTTCTGTAGTTTTACACGTACTTGTGTCAAGCTCGGGTTTCAACCGTGATAGGCCTCCGTACCATGATGTAGAGGATATTGATTCGTCATCTAAATAAGCTGCTTTAAGACACTTAATACTTATCGTATCTGGATGACCTGCCCGGCAAATGGCAATAAACTAATCTTTCCTGCCAATCACTTGGAATGTTCCGCCACAGGAAGTTTGGAGGGGTTTTCGCACGGTATCGCGACGCACGAAGATATGTGTGCAATTTTGCAATTTCAGGTCAAGCATCTCTTTCTTACTGTGAGAACGACTGGAAATTGGTTGAACTGGGAGCATGAAGGGCACGGGATTCTGCGCATAGATGTGGACACCAGAAGCATTAGGTTCATTGTCATACGAAGTAATTAGTTCACCGGGTAAATGGAGTGTGGTTCCGTAAGCCAGTTCTACCGAGGTGCTCTGTGTATCCACCTTGAGTGTGGAGCAGAGGCTGAAGAGGGCCGTAGAGAGAGAATCTACAGCCATTATAGGGGCTTGAAGTAGTCGACGAAGGCGTTCAATCAGGCCATTGGCAGATGGATGTTTTACCATGTTTCGTATGCGTCTGCATTCCAATAGCTCTAAAAAGCTTCTTGAGTGTTACAGGCTCGAATTATGACCATCGACCCGTTGTTGCCGTAGTAAGGCATCCAAAATGTCCAGCCCATCTTTCCATTGAAGACTCGGGCAAATGGTTTCAGCGGTTGCGTTTGTCATAGGTATGGAGTCTGACCGACGTGTGAATCGATCCATAAACGTGAATGCGTATGTCTGGCTTGTGGACCGACAGTATCCACATGAACTTGGCTAAAACGTGCATCGCACGTGGCGAATTCCACAGTTGGGCTAACATTTTACTTGTGCACTTTCGGGCTCTTGCATTATATGCAGGAACGCATCTAACTTCTATTATCGCAGTTAATTGTGGGCCAGACAAAACGAGTTGAAATTAGCCTGTCTGTAGACGTACACCACGATGTGAGAGGTTATGTTGACATTGGTAAACTGTTCTGCGTAAAAATAAATGAACCACTTGTCCTTGTGTGTCTGTGGGTTTGTCACGCAGTATAATGCCTTAGTTACGAGCCAGTGGTATAAGCTTTATCTTCAGACGAGCGTATCGTCGAAATTTGTAATCAGTTATACCTGAAATTGGTGGTTCCGTTGTTTTCCTCAGGTCAGTGTTGGGATGAAATACAGTGGAGCAAATGCGAGGTAATGAGCCTACTACTGGATTATTCGCGCCAGAGATATGTCGGATGTCCGATATGGGTTGTGAAACGTAGTGTTAATGACATAATTCACGCGGTGAGTAACTGCCTGTAGTCGTATGAAGGGCGCACGTCAAGGGTTTATGATCAGTGAAGATAGCAAACTGGCGGCCTTCGAAGAAGTGGCAGAAGTGTCTGATGGAGGCTTAGAGGGCAAGTAATTCGTGACTAAATGTGCTATATCGCAATTCGCCTGCAGAAAGCTTCCTGGAATATGAGGCAAAAGATTTCCATGAGTCGTTCTTAAGTTGTTGAGGGACAGCTGCAGCAGCTGTATTAGATGTCTCGACGGAAATACTAAGGGGAAGCTTTACATCCAGATGCATTAACATAGTTGCGTCTGCAATCACCATCTTGATTATTTCGAACTTAAATAGTGAAGGTTAGCATACAATGTTAAGTTAAAATGTTGTGACCTACTGATTTTGGGGGAATTCTTTACAGCTAAAACATTCCTATGAAACCTCCATTGCATCCACATCCTTATAATGGGAGAGATACTTGTTTATCCTCAATATTTAGGCTTAATTCTTGTATCAAATAGGACACAGAAAACCAAAATCTTATAAAATTTCTTACTGCTACAATTGTAAGGAACACTGCATAAATGTAACTTACACTCACTAATTAATGCTTACATTGAGAGTGCGCTTTAATCCCGCATGCTTTCTATAGATTAAATATAAAAGACTGATTAACGAGCAAAGAATATTCTCTTTAATAAATTCGTCCTCATATTCAACATATATTTAGTGGTTGACAATTTCTGTCACTCTATTGTTTATATGAGTAGGTAGAGGATAGAGGCACAAATCAGCTGTTTGCTGCAGTTTTAAGGTGTTATCGTGGTGTTGTGTTTGGGCTATCCTGCGTTGTTTTTAGTGTTTTTTCAACAGAAATGCATTTTTAAAATCGTATTTTAATGAAAAAACATGTAAAAAGTGGGAAAAATAATCGTTTTCATTGTGTTGACGAAATGCTGTCTTGTCATCGAATTGACATCCCGAGGTATATAAGAAATAATATAATGCGTTGAAAAATGTCAATTATGATAGAAAATGCTAAATAATTCTAATTTTTGAAGTTTATTTTACGTATATGATGAGAAGGGGTTAAATATCGAGGTAATTATGATTTCATGATATTTTCCAAATTGCACAGTAATAAAGGAAATTGAGTTGGTTATTTCGTCAGATAACGGTGAAGAGATAGTCATTCAACTAGTAGGTACCGTATTATA